ATGTCATTCTAGGGATCCAAAATTTAGGACAATGGCTTCTCTCTGTGCCTTCTGCTAAAGTAAAGGTGACAGACATGAGATAAAAAACAGAGGTGTCAGTTTTCACCAATCTGCCTTGGGCCCAAATGAAGAGGCTATACTCATCAGCAATAACAGTTGTGAGCACCTGTTTGAACTGTTTGTTTACAGGCCTCCAGATGTCAAGAAAATGGCCTGTAAACAGCCGTCCCACCCACGTTTGGACATGCTGAGAGTGTTATGGGAACAGAGGCGGGGACTACCGGGACTGCTATAGATTCAAGATAGCTGTGAACTGGGTCATCTTTCCCAATGAGAAGGGTGGTTTATTTCTATGCCTTCCATTCCAAGACCACTTTAATTATAGTATGTAGCAGAAGTGTCACTACCTGGTGTCAGGCCAGGCTTTGATAGAGTGGACAGCGTCTAGTTTCTTGAAGTCCCGTGCGACTGTGTTGGTTGGTGGCCATCCTGCTAGAGGAACTATTTGAAGCCTTGAGACTTTACAAAAGGGATGTCCAACTAAAACCAGGTTTTTAGCCACTACTAGTCACTTCTTGACCCATTGGGTGTACAACTACATGAAGCCAGTGTGGATCCCCCAGACCTGATCAGCTACCAGGCAAAAACCCGAGTGGCCTCGGAAGGAGCATCAATTGTGAACATGGGAAAATGAGTTTTTAGTCTTTTAAAAAATTATTTTTAAATTAAAATACACGTACATTATTTACCTCCATCCCTTTCCTCCCCAATCCTTCCTATGTACCTCCTCCTCATTCTCAAATATATGTATGTATATATATGTATACATACATATATGTGCCTGTATGTGTGTGTCTGTAAATATTCCTAATTATATAAATAAAATCTGCTCTATCTATGTAATGTTACTTCTGTGTGTATGATTTTAAGACTGACCATTTGTTATTGGATAACCATTTGGGGGCTCTTCCCTGGAAAAGGCTATTTCTACAGCTCTCAACATTTCTTAGTTGCCTGTAGCTCTTTGAGGGTGCCAAAAATGGGCGTGCTAACATGAAAGGTGTGTGTGTGGGGGGCTCTCATGGGGCCTTAACCTTAGGGTTTTTAGTTTGATTTCTGTGCAGATGGAGGTTGCATTCAGGCCTGCAGAGAAGCAGTTTACCACAGAGCTGCACGTTAAGAAACGCTGTTTCATTCCAGTCGTAAACTTGTGATATATTAATGTTTAAAAGTCTTGGACATACACACACTCACACCCATGCGCACACATGCGAACGTGCACATGCTCAAACACCCATGTACCCATGCAAGCACATGCATTTGCACATATACTCGTGTGTTCACACACACAAATCAGCGTGGTAATTGATCACTTCCGTAATCCCCAGTGGTCACTCAAGAGACTGAAGTAACGGGATTGCTATGGTTGGAACTAGCCTTGGCTACACAGTCAGTTCCTGACCAACTTGGGCTACAAGGAGAGAGACTTCATCTTAAAACACTCAAGAAAACAAACACATGCAATAAACCCTTGAGTCAAACAGCAAAGAGGCTCTGTGGCTTACATTAAAATGACTGGTTTGCAGAAGCTGAGACTACCCAGCAAAGGATGCTGATCTTGTGTATCATCAAACCTAAAGCTCCGAGTAATTAATCTTGCGTTTGCTAGATCTAGGCCTTGGATATTTTAAACCTCTCTTGCCTTCTCACCTGAAACCTTACATCTCATTGATGCTGAGAGGAGGGAATGCTATTTTGGAGAAGCTAGGCTAGAAATATCAGGGTTTGGGAAATCAATATTTTGGAGACAATAGTGGGGTTGGCTCAGGGAGGCCTCCAAAAACTCTGGTCTCTGGATACAGAAATCTGTGATCTGCAGAAGCAGTGGCCAGCTTTTCCGGAGGTCCGGGCCGGAGAGGGAGGGAAGGGGCGGAGAGTGCTGGCCGCGATTCTGCCCACTCCAGTCGCGGCTGAGGCAGGAGGCAGGAAGGATGGGAGGGTTGGGAGACCTCCTTGTGGCCTCCAGCCTCCGTTGGATCTGAGGGTCCGGAGCGGGAAGCCGTGCCCGGAGCCCCGGGATCCGCCGCGCCCATGGGCCCCTCCAGCGCCACTGACTGCGTCTCTGCGGGCTCGTGGGTTCCGGACACCCCGCGGGCGCAGCGCTAGCGGGGCTCGGGGCTCAGGGCTGGGCGGGCGCCGAGCTGAGGTCCCGGGGACCAGGGGACATGCTGCAGCCTTTGCCCCGCGTGAGAACGGCGCGGGAAGCCACCGCACAGTGCTGCCCAGGCCCGGAGACTCCCGACCCGGCCTGTGGGACAAGAGCCAGAGCCTGGGGCTGATTGTTATTGGGTAAGTTCACCCGGGCTGGGTTCAATGAGTTCTAGATCATGGCTTGGTTTTGTGATTTTTTTTTCCGGCCTGCAAAGGCAAAATCCATCTGGTGTGTGCGTTCTTCCCTGCATTCATTCATGAAATTGTAGCATGCTGGCATCAGCAGGCCTTCCCAAGTGACGTAGCTCAGAGAAGCATTACTGCGTACCAGAAGGGTTCTCCAACAGTTCCCAGAACTAGGGTTGCTTCTTATATTTTGAAGGATCATTCCCCGCCCCCTCGCTCCCACCCAACCCCCGCATCCGCCTTTTTGGGTGTGTTTGCTACACAGTCGAAAAACAGATCCTTGCTGGTTTTAATTCAAGGGTAGAGTGCTTGTTTGGCTTGCAGGAGGAAGGCCTTGCTCAACTTCCAGCCTGCAGAAACACACACACAAACACACCACCACCACCACCACCACCACCACCACCACCACCAACAACAACAACAACAAAACCCTTGACTATCATGCATTTTAATCTAAAGACTGTACCTACTTCAAATATTCCCTTCGAACAGAGAAATGGTGTTTTGAAGGCTGCGAGAACCGTTTAACATATGAACTTCCACGGGGCAGTTTGACCCAAGGTTTTCAGGTTGTCAGAAGTCCACCTTAAAAAAAATAAATAAGTAAAACCAGACTAAATGAAGTATCTGGGGGAACTCCTGGCGACCAGTATTCAGCCCTAACTTCCACGTGCATCAGGCGAGCCCACATCTTGGTTTCAAACGGGCACCCAAGAAAACTGTTACTATCTCTAAAATGTAAGCATAAGGAAAGGACTAACATAAAACTATCAAATGTCTATGGATTGGGTATCATGACTTTAACAGACATCGCATCGGATGTAAGTTTTAAAGTACTTACAGGATAGGATATACCCTGTAAGTTTGCACACTTAGTCTGAGGAGTGGACAGTTCACAGGGGATTAAGATGTTCAAAGTTATGCATGGAGTCTGTTTGGCTAGAGAACAGGGAAACCTAAGGACTAAAACCTAATAATAACGTAACACAAGAAGCAAAAGACTCTATAGACTGTGTTTTGAACGCTGCCAGCTACTCCCATCCTGCGGTACGTTGCATCCAATCTTCTCCATGCACTTGGGTCTCGGGATTGATGCTTCTAGCACGAGGGGAGGATGGCTGCTTCGTTGTCGGTTTGCAGATGTGGGTGTTGAGCCTCAAGGAAGAGAAGTCTGTGGGTGCGTCCACTATGAAGAAGGCATCAGAGAGAAAACTGTTAAGTCTTCCATCACGGCATCATCCTTCTGGATGACCTGTTAGCGCAATCTAAGTGAAGCTCCTTACTGTTCAAAAAACATCTATTTGACACGATATTTCTAGAATTAACTAAAACTCAAATCACAATGTGATTTTAAAGGTAGCTGGGGAACATCTGAACAGTGGTAACGGAAAGTGGTTGATTAGCATGGGAGCTGGGCAGAGAGTGTGGCTCAGTGGCAGAGCATTTGCCTCATAGAAAAAGCCTCTGGATTCAAGTCCAAGCAACGAGAGAGAGAGAGAGAGAGAGAGAGAGAGAGAGAGAGAGAGAGAAATGGAGAATGCTGTTCTTCTTTTTTTTTTTTTTAACATCTTTGCCTCAGGATTATTTAAGTGTACTTAAGTACATATAGGTAGTAGGAATGGAAAACAGCACCATTCTGTTAATCATTGTACAAAAACCCACCAGTATAAGGCTGAGGTTCTTGGCTAATCTCTGCAGATAGTATTAATTTTTAAAAGAATTCCCTTCTTTGAGGTGAACTTTAAATAGGTATTGTAAAGGCAGGGTATTTCCATTTATATTAAAAATACAAATGTTAAAAGTTAGCTACCATTTTAATTAAAAGCAAAGCCAGCCTTCATTTTTAAAGCGCACCAAATGGTGTCTTTATTTCAAATGCTGAAAGTCTAAGTCTTTTTTACCATACCTTAAGTTAGCATGTGCTTTATTTGTCTGGGATTTATTATTTCTACTAGCAAACACAGTGGCTCACTGCTAAACATGAGAAGATATTTTGATAAAGAGGAAGTAAATGTTTTAGAAGGTTCATTGACAGGCTATTTTAATGATTAACTTGAACCGTGTCACTTTGGTTTAATAGTTTACTTAGATTTCAGATATTTTAATTTTTCATTAAATTTTAACATGTTGAGCCCTTGAAAAATCCAGAATGCATACCAGACAGTAGTAAAATTACACATTTGAATGGCTTCTATGTGATTCAGATTCTTTGGTGGATTTCAGAATTGATAGGGAATTAATGATCACTGGCTGGCATGCTCACTGGGTTTTATAAAGGACCTGGTTAAAAGACACCATGAACCCAGACCATGTTCCGCTTGCCAACCAAGCCTTAGGCCTTGGAAAAGAACTGTAAGAAGTATAGTCAACTATTCTGGACAGCTTTGTGTTTTCTGACTTCTTCGAGATTGTTATCGTATTTTCAGATTATGTAAATATCCTTATAGGTTACTGGCAACCTTGATTCTAAGACAAATAAAAACAAGGCATGCCGAAGCCTCTAGAAAGAGGAGTGACCCGAACAGTGGGGAATTACAGACCAATGTGATCACTGATCATGTTATAGCTCTGTCCGACTTCCCTTGTTTTTCCTTTCTTCTCAGAAGGGGGCTTTCGGCAGGACTCAGGAAGCACAGCTCTGAAAAGAGCAAAGATCCTTTACCTACGAATTTTACGAAAAACGTGCAGAAAGCCATTGATAAATTCTCCAGGTAAGAAACAATCCTTTTAAACGCTGACCCCAAGAGAAGATGTGCATAGTAAATATGGAGGCGGGGCAGGATCAGTAATACTATTTTGTTTTTGATCAAGTAAAGCTATGCTTGACAAAATGATTGTTAGACCAGCTTGCTGTAAACTTCGCAAATACGTTCAATGGGACAATGAGAAAGGGGGCCTGACCAGAGAAGTCAAGCCTGGGTAGAATGACCATGATTCCCAGCTCATAGGATCTCTGTGTTTCTCCCTGCAGTGAGTCCCCCTCATCCTTTTCATCCAGCGGGAGCAGCACGCCCACGGAGACCCACAATTCCTGGCTGGGCTCTTCCGCACATAGCTCCACCACGGGATTGTCTACGGAGAGGAGCTCGGTTTCTTCCTGGAGAGATGATGTATGTCTTTTGATAGTTTCAACAACCTTGAGGGGATGGTTTATGGGGAATTACTTTCCAGTCATTTATTTATTTGTGTGTTTGTGTGAGAGACACACACTTAACTGTGATGCCATTCAGAAGTCAGAGGTCAACTCTGAATATCTTCCACTACTACTCTCCTCAGTGTTTTCTGAAACAGAGTCTCTCACTGAAGCAGTTAGTTAGCCCAGGGATCAACTTACCTGTGTCCCAACCCACTCCCCACCCCCAACCAATTTTCTTTCTCCCACTCTATACCCCTGCTTTCCATTATACTGTACCTAACTTTTAAATACTATCCTACGGCTAGAAACCTGAGACACAGCCTCCACGATGAAGAATGCAAGTAAGAGAAAGTTTTGGAAAAGCAAACACTATAAGATATCTCCATGATTGGAAGACCCTGACATCCCCACCTGTACCCTGTGCCCCTAGAAGTCTAAGTCAGGTATTCTACTTTTGCCTTGGCCTGAGACAAGCCATCAACACTAACTTTACTTTGGGTATTTTGTGACTATGAGATTCTCAGAGGAGTGAGATATTTAGCTACAGCTCTGGTTTCGTTAAGATTTGCAGAATCTTGTCTCCTTTGTCATCCCCCAACCCCATTCCTTGAGATGCTGGCTGTGTAAAGATGCATATCTGTATCTATGAGAATATTAAACGATCTCATAACGGAGGTGTTGCCAATCTTACCTTTATTTAACAGTTAATAAATGTGAGACTTAATGTAAGGTATCATTGATCAGAAAAGCAACAATCAGTATGCTGGTCTGTCTCGCTACAGAGCCCACAGTTTTACCTTGTTTTATTTCCTCTTATTTAGTGCTCTCTGATTCATAAATATTGATTATGAAGCCAGTGTTCTATAACTTTTAGTGAGGTATCTATGTCCTGAGGTCAGGTGGATGACGGTGGCGTGGAATGGATTAATGCGGTGTTTGAATCTGTACTTCTCTTTCAGGAATTTGACAAAGTCAACGCACAGAAGGTCCAGCAGCTGTTCTGGGAGGTTGAGGAACTGCTATTTGAAGGGAAAGTGAATCCCCAGACCCAGAATCTGCAGGCTGAATGTGATGAGTGGGGAAGGAGATCCCTCCATCTCAGGTACAGAAATGGCCAAAGACATCTTCAGGAATGAGGTTCTGATCTATGCCTAATTGATTTTCCTTTATTCCGCCAACACATTGTGATTGAGAACTTCTACCCAGTCAGAGTATTTATCCAGAATTTAGTCTTAGGTCCCAAGGAAAACTTGACAGGTGCCTTTTAAGTTGTCAGAAGCTAAAAGTTAGCTTGTCTAGGTAGTTCTCAGAAAGATGTTGTATCCGTGATGGTAACAAAAGTCTCAGGAGTGTCCCTTCATGTTCGAGTTCTCTGTGTGAGTGGCAGGCACCTGCCATGGCTGAGAGCATCAGCATAGGGGTGGGGGAGAATAGATAGTGTGGGTGTGGGTTGGGGACATGGGTACGGGAAAGGTTGTGTTCCTGGGGCTAAGTGATCACTTGCTGAAAAACTTGCTAGATGGGCTTAGATTATCCATCCCTCTCTACTTTCCTTCAAAGGAGACATTTGATATATATATATATATATATATATATATATATATATATATATAAACACATATATATATATATTTTTTTCAAGATGGAAAGTATGTAGTTTCGGTAGGAAGCATTGCTTTCTTTACTTAGCCTTGGTACTAGGGGGAAAGGGAAATTTATTTTAGTGTTGTGTTCTCACATTCTGAGCTGACCAAAACGGATTAGAACACCAACATACACATACTTGTCTTTTCTGATTAGCTTGTCAAGGGAACTTAAAAAAAGTTATCTTAGCTAGGTATAGTAACGGATGCTTGGAACCCTAGTATTTAGGAGGCTGAGGCAGGAGGGAGATTGTTAGTTGAAAACCAGCCTTGGATATACAGTGAAACAATGCTTTAAAAACAAACAAACAAACAAGCAAGCCAACAACAACAACCAAAAACCCACAAATACTCAACACCAAAGACGTCTTGCCTAGGTAGTTTTAAACGATTCTTCATACAGCCTTTACAGAAAATGATGTAGGCAGTGTGAAAGTGACTGTGGGACGCTTTTCTGGATGTGGTGCCCTTACCCAATGTCAGGACCTCAGGCTTGTTTCTCTCACCCACCGTCATCTTACATTTTCCTATGAAAACAAAGAAGAGAAGATAGACAAAGAGAAAGAACACAAGCCAAGAGTGTAGGTTTATGGATTGTTATTCACTAGGCCCATGAAAATGTCAGTCTGTAGTGAGTTTCTCTGGACCTCCTTGCCCAAGGACAGAGGTCCTCAACCTTCCTGATGCTGGAACCCTTTAATACGGTTCCTCGTGTTGTGGTGACCCTCCAACTATAAAATTATTTTATTGCTATTTCATGACTGTAATTTTACTACTGTTATGAATCACCATGTAAGTATCTGACATGTAATCCCCACAGGTTGAGAAACACTACCCTAGCTCTTCAGGTAGATCATATGATCTCTCTAAGCCATTCATTACTCTCTCAAGGTTACTGTGATTCTGATTTGCACCCGATCAACCAATAAACATAAGAGGCGAAGGGGCTGGACATCTCTGCACACTCTTTTAGTCCAGACTGAACAGAGCCATTCTGCCACTCTCCCACACGATAATGAGGCTCTCAGCCCTGTGCACACGACACCATAGCCTGTGTGCCCTTTAGAGCCAGTACTGCATCCTAGCTGAAAATCACGAAATATTTTCCCCTTGTCTGATAAAAGAAGCCCTCGGCTTCTTAGCTTTTCTTTTCTTGCAGGGTATTAGGAAGACAACTCATCCCACCCACTGATGAAGGTTTCCAACACTTCCAGGGGAGCCTGCCTAGTTCTGCTCGTCACAAACCTTTACCTCATACCCCTGACCACATTGGCAGTATCAGAGAGTAAGTTTATGAGTTGCTTGTACAAAAAAATTGCTTGTTGCCAGTATGATAGCACACACGTGTTAATCTAAGCACTAGAGAAGTAAGTGGCAGGATCTGGTAATCCTTAGCTACTTTGCGAGCTTAAGGCAAACCTGGGCTACGTGGCCTCTGTCTCAAAAACTTAAACCCAAAATATTTGCTAACTTTATTGTACCTCTCTTTCTCATATTGAACTCTTCCGTGAGCCTTTGCTCTAGCTAATTTACATGAAGATCAAGATTTCAATCTGGGGCAGGCACAGTGTTTTTCACAAAATGCTCTGATACTAACTTGATGCTTTGTCTTTAGATATGTTTGTATGTGTGTATATATGCAAAGCATATATTGAATAAACATGTTTCAAAGACTATGAAAGGTAAAACCTGATTTGAAATCAAACAACTCATTGTAACAGGTTCTAAGCCTCAAGACATGAGTCAAAGAAATAAAATTTTATCCAGTTCTTTTGGTCACTAACGTATTTTGATACCTTTAATGCCAGTTGTGCATGTGGGGGTGTGCTGTCACATTGGTTCAGATGTGTAAAAAGGATGGGGTTATATATACTGGTTTATGACCTTAGGAAGACTTTAACCTTTTAAAGAATCTCTGAGGTTAAATGTTTTAGAAGAAAGTTGGGTGTGAGTAAGATACCTATAACTCCAATGCTGGGGAGGTGGACAAATCACTGGAGTTTACTGGCTAGGCAGCCCATCCTCCTTGGCAAGCTTCTGGCAAATGAGAGAACCTGTCTCAAAATACAAAGAGGATATCTCTTGAACCAAGACCCAAAGTTGTCCTCTGGCTTCCCCATTCACACACACACACACACACACACATACACACACATATACACACATACATGCACACACACATACACACATACATGCACACACACATACATACATAAATGCACACACATATACACACACAGGCACACATACACACACATACACACACACATGCACACACACACACACACATTTACTGGTTCAGTAAATAGGTATTTGGCAAATGTAATATTTGGGGATGTTTCAGATACTGTGTACCTTGTACATAACTTCAAAGTCTATCACCATCTTGCAAGCATTACATCCTTGTGTTGTACAAACTCTCATGTAGAATGTCTTTGCTCCTAGGCTGTGTATCTCTGGCTCTCAGATAGTCCCAGAGGTACTCTCAGCATCTGCCCTGACAGACTCTGATGGCACAGAACTGGCTGAGCTCCCATCATGTTCATCCTTGAAAGAAGAGGTGTACCATGTGGATGGAAACATTGAGGAATATTTTGCTTTTGATGGAAAGCAGGAGTAAATTGAATTTTATTTTCCATACTTCATAGTATTATGTCAATTCATCATATGCTTTTAATATTTTGTGTATTTGTTGCCTATAAGAGATTCCTATTCTTTTGAAATATGCCCCAAGCAGGTTAGATCTTGGTAGGGCATGTCAATGCTTGAGTTAGGCATTTCTTTCTCCTCAACAATGTGGTAGATAAGAAGAAAGGGTTTTATCTAGCATGCTGGTGACAGTGAACAAGGACATTTGAGCCTTATGCCTCAGGGCTCCAGGTTCCCTACACTTAGCTTCCTGGGGACAAAGCCAAAGTTCCAATCTTGGTGCTAATGCATATTTTGTTTTAAGCAACAGTGACATATCATAAATTTCTTTCTCACAATTTAAAATCAAGATAAAAAGTAACCAGGTATTGAATCAAGTCCTAGCAACTGTAAGCCATATGGAGCATCCTTCCTGATCACCATGACATCGAAATAGAAATCAATAGGAAATCCAGAGAATTCATCAGGAGAGAAATTAGACAGATACTTCTGAATAGTTAATCTCAAGACAAATGGAGATGGGGGCACAGCACAGAAAAATGGATGGCCCTCAATATCAGCAGCTCAGAAAGCAGATATGGCAGCACTAAGTGTCTGTTTAGAAATAAAGGAAGGAATACATAGAAAAAAAGACAGACTTTCAGTAACCTGATTTTACACATGAAAAAAATAGAATAAACTCAGTCCTCAGGTAGTTAAAGTATGAATAGAGTTCACAGCAGAAATAAAGAAATGGAGACTCAGAGAAAAAGAATAAAAGAGATTAGTGAAGAGTTTTTTTTTTTTCTTGTCTGTTTGGTGTTTCCCACTTCTGTTGACATATAATTGACAAATTAAAGTCCTATATTTAAAAAAATAACAATGGGCTCACTAACAAGAGAATGTTATATTTATTGATATATATGGAGTCCTACATGTTTGCAATGTATATGTTTACAAGATAGATGATAGATATGTAATAAATAGATAGAAATATAGATAGATGATCGATAGACAGATACATAGATACATAGACAGATACATAGATCGATACATAGGTCAAAACCACATAGGTAATTATTTCAACCTTATCCCCGACTATTCTACTAATTAGAATGAATTTCATCCTAGTGGGAGTGAGCATCTTGAACAAAACCCAACACTGCGTGGCAGGAAGAGTCATCGCCATGGGCTTCCTCCCATTTCCCCTGATGACTGTATCAGAGATGCCGTGGCTGCAGAAGTGTTTGATGATGTTTGGACCAATATGGTAGAAATACTGGAAGATCTCGTTAGGAAAACCTGGGAATCTGCATTCACAGGTACTTCTTCACAGAGTTTGGACTCCAGGGAAGATCAGAAAAGATCACATAGCTACAGCTTCCTCACACCCCACCTCATGATAGGCTGGACCCAGAACATGACTGAAATGAGAAGTAGCCATTCTACCTCATACACAGGCAGTCTTTAATCACACAGAAAGGACATCCTTGCTCTGGAGTCTCTTCCTTGCTTCACGATGAAATCTATTCTCCTAGCATTGATAAGATCATCGCTGGAGCCAGTTGTTCACTGGAGTCTCTGCCTTCTGCTTCAGGGCTGTTTAGTCAATGTCTACAAGCATAAACTCACGGTAACCCAGGACACATATTTCTTGTTATTTTCTGTTGACTCAGATGGGAAAAACCATAAGGAAAAACTGAAAGTAGCTGAGAACAGATCTCCACACGTGTTCATGGCTCATCTCAGCACAGACGTTTGCAGTGTCCCCCCATCCCGAAGCTCTGACACTCTCCAGCCATCCTTGGTCCCCCACTTTAACCCACCCCAGGTATGTGCACTAATACAAGCTTCTTTATTTTTATGTCTTTTGCATCTGTTTGTAGAGAATGTCATTTTATTCACCTCTCTCCCTAATGAACCTCACACTGTCTTATGGTTGAGGACACTGGACGGCTCCTATCACCATGTTTGATGGCATCTTAAACAGAAAAGAAAAATCACTTAAGACAGCAAAAGCAGCCTCAGAAGCATAGTAAACCTCTTACAAAAAAAGTACTTGGGGTTTTGTCAATAAGATTAAAATGCAACATGATTGTTGTGTGGTGTCTAAAGGAATCACAACATTCTTTAGTGGACACCAAAGGTTTGCCTTGAGGTATGGACCTATTATTATGTACAGTTTAGGAGAGCAAATGAAATTTTCCCTAAGTTTTTAGCCATTTTGAACATTATAAATGATCCCCACATCTTACGCTAAAGTGACAAACATGTTAACGAGTATTCCCAGCGGTCATGGAGCACTGGTTCATGGCTTTTATGACATAACCCCTAGAAACTTTGAGAAAGATACACGGATGAGTGAATCCAGTTGCTAGCTTAGCGAGATGAAACTATAACACAGGGTTGGATGCCGTACATTCTGTGAGGGATGAAGGAGGAAGGCGGAAGGGAAGGAGAGAGGGATGGAAAAAGGGAGAAGGGAGGAGGGAAGGAGGTGTTGTAGAATTTTTTAATCTCAACCCTGGGGTTCTCCCCCAGTTGTGATCATTTAGTTCTTGAATAAAAGACATACACAACTTTTATATTTATAATAAGCCTTAAACAAGAGCTGGGCAGATATCAACCCTCTATGCTATTAGAATGTACTTTCCTACAGATAACCCCATTACTACTTAGTATGTTTTATCTGGGCCGCTCTTAACTCCAATTGGGCAGCCCTCAGGGCCATGTTCTCTTGAACTCATCTAATCCATGGCAGCTCCTCCCCCTTCCCCTCATGGTTCTTCTCCAACCCCAAGCCTGGGAACGGTAAGAAACCACCAATATCTCTTCTTCCCAGCTATTAGCTGTTGGCATCTTTATTTTCCAATTAGAAATAACTTGGGGGCAGGGTCACTTAGGGTCTACATGTGGAGTCTCTCATCTCTAGGACACCCAGGTCTTGAGGAACCAACATTAGCATTAGGCTAATCCACTACAAGGAGGGAGGAAATTAAGGAATTGAAGAGAGCATCGTGTATCTTGATTAGAGACTGAGGGTTGAGCTTCTTGGGGGCGGGGGGATGAAGCTTGAGCAGGTACATGAAGAGACGAATAGGTTGGTGCAGTTTTGGGTTAGGTCCAGGCCATTTCAGCCCAGGTATCAGTGAAAACAGATGTATCTGAGACTGGTATTTGGACTGAGTGATTTAACAGAATACTGGAAACCACAAGGCCCTGAAGCAAAATCGGAGGTTTTTGGAATTAAGAGACTTGTATGGAGTATTGTCTCGGATGTGTTAACTCCCCTACACATTAGTCTCTGTAGGTTGAAGATAAGGATATATGGTCTAAGAATTCTAGGAACGTGAGAGAGCTCACAGCACAGAATCTGCATATGAGCCTTCAGGGCAGTCTTCCATAATTAAGTCTTTAATTAGAGATGGAGTAGCTGGTGAAGGTAGAGAGGATTGGCTTGTTGGTGGGAGGTCTTCGGGGTATCCGGGAGTCTCAACATGATGTTCAACTCTGCCAATCTTGTCTTAGGGAGCAAAGTAAAAAGATTGGTTGACATTTCCTGTTCTTTAGCTACACACCATTGCGTCTCACCCACACATAGTGCGCGTACACACACACACACACACACACACACACACACACACACACACGAGAAGAAACGATGTAGTTCCTAATAGGGAGGCTGAGGGTTTGTGCTTCACACATAAGGTGTAAGTTTGGAGCCTGACGTAATGTGAGTCCCTTTCTCTCAAGCCCCACTGCCATTTCTGTGACATTTGTGCAGCTGGGAGCTCTAAGAATGAATTGTTTTAAGCCTTTCTTATTGTGTAGCATCAAAGAGTCACTGGGTGTTGTCTTTTGTTATAACCACAAGCTATTTATATAACCCATTTAATTAAACTGCGTTAGATCATAAGATTTGTGTTGTTCAGAGGGGAAAAAAATAACCATGTCTTTTACAAAAACGGCTAAGCATAAATTAAGCCCAAATGATGAATAGGATTTGTTAAAATGAGAAAACAAAACAAAACAGCAACCAAGAGGCAAGCCCACACACACATCTAGCTGGGAGAACATAAACAGAAAACCATTGTAAGAATGAATGGAAGAAGGCCTGAATGGGGTTTGTTAGTTCAGGGTAAAGTGAGACTTAAGTTGTTGACTACTGAAGACCAGCAGTCTTAACCTACCCAGACTCAGATCTACCCAGATCTCTCAGACGTTGAGCCACCAACCAGGCAGCACACACCAGCTGATATGAGGCCCCCGACACATATACAGCAGAGGACTGCTGGGTCTGGACTCAGTGAGAGAAGAAGCACCTAACCCTTGAGGGACTTGAGGCCCCAGAGAATGGGGAGGCCTGGTGGGGTGTGGGGGTGGGTACATCCTCTTGGAGATGTGCAGGGGTCGGGAGGGTGAAGAGTGGAGGGGATGAGGGGAGGAGGAGTGGGATGAGGAAGTGTCTGAGGGAAGTAGGGGAGGGGATAATAACTGGACTGTAAAAAAAAATTAAAGATAATAAAAAAGAATTGTTTACTACTGTGTAGCATCAAGTAGATACTCCGTGTTGGCTTCTGTTAGAACCACGCGTTATTTATACATTCCATTTCATTAAACTGCTTGAGGTATTAAGTTTTGCATGATCTGCCAGGCTACCTTTGCTCTCTAGCACAAGGCCTTGTCCTAGATAGATAACTCTTCTCTCCTTTTCCTGTTTGGAAGTAAATTTCAAAGCTGCCATGGCTTGAGGTCTCTGATCCATCCCACACAATGTTCCTTGCTTTGTTTCATAGGAAGATGAATTCTATAAAGATGGCACCTATGGTTTTCGTTAAACTGTTACTCCGTTACTCTTTCCTCTCCATAGCTAAGTGTCTACCCTTTACCGCCTGCTGGTTCCATCAGTGAACCGGCCCTGGGTACCACGTGATGATGCGACTATTCTGTTTTCTGTTTTCAGTTTCCTCAGCTCCATCGCTTCTCCAACAACTTCTGCTGTGACTTGAGTGGTGTGATGACCGTCCAGGCCAAGCCGCTTCAGCAGAGGCCTACTCACTCTGCAGATAGAACACAGTAAGTATGAAGGAGGAATGACCCGCCTGCAAGCATGGAAACAGATTCTTCTCTTATCAGCCACAGAATTGTCACTGCTGTGTACTAGGTTAGGAGAGAAGAGGAAACAGGAGCAGAGATGTGAGTTCTTCCTCCCTCGAGCTTTATTATTGGATTATCAACCCTTTCCCTTCCACTCTTCACTGACACAGCAGTAGGAAATGTCCGTTCCTTCAACATATTCTCCAGAGAGAGTGGGATCTGTGTGCCATGTGTTTCCTACTCCAGGAAACTTGGATACGAGTAACTAACCAGACTTTCCTTCCCCAGATATGAGCAAGACGACAAACTGCCTGGAGGAGGGGTAGGAGCACCTTCCCGTTACCGACTCGGCCGAATTCTAGACACCCGGGGACCACAGACTTCTGCCAAGAAGACACCAGTGCATAGGAGACTGCCTTCAATTGCTTCAGACTCACAGAGGCTGAAAACCCCCACTGTCTACAGTGATGAAATTCTGAGAGGAACCAAACTGTAAGTCTTTGTTGCTTTCTCTGCAGTCTAAGGCTGCAAAGGTCAGGGATGCTTGTCACTTAGTGTTAATGGCTCTGGAGAAAGGACCTTACATCAGACTTTACACCAGATCTTTCTTTCTTTCTTTCTTTCTTTCTTTCTTTCTTTCTCTCTCTCTCTCTCTCTCTCTCTCTCTCTCTCTCTCTCTCTCTCTCTTTCTTCCTTCCTTCCTTCCTTCCCTCCCTCCTTCCCTCCCTCCCTCTCTTCTTTCTTTCTTTCTTTCTTTCTTTCTTTCTTTCTTTCTTTCTTTCCTTCTTCCTTTCTTTCTTTCTTATTGGATATTTTATTTATTTACATTGCAAATATCCCTTTTCCAAGTTTCCCTCTGGAAACCCCCTATCCCATCCCCCCCATCACCCTGCTTCTATGAGGGTGTTCCCCTACTCACCCACTCACTCCTGCCTCCCTGCCCTGGCATTCTCCTACACTGGGGCATTGAGCCTTCACAGGACCAAGGGCCTCTTCTTCCACTGATGCCTGACAAGGCCATCTTCTGCTACATATGCTGCTGGAGTCATGGGTCCCTCCATGTGTACTCTTTGATTGGTGATTTAGTCCCTGGGAGCTCTTGGTGGAGGGGTCTGGTTGGTTGATATTGTTTTTCTTCCTATGGGGTTGCAAAATGGGTTCATGTGCTTGATTTTGCTCCAGCAGTGTAGGTAGTAGACAGTTACCAACACTGCTGGAAGAAAATTAAATGACTGCAGCTTGGGCAACTCGGGAAATTAAACTGACTGTGGGGGAGCTTGGATTAAATGTAGAGGCCCCATCTGTAAAACTGATAATCAATGCTTCTAAATTACAAAACACTTTTTTATTGAAAGGTTTAAGCAAAGTAATGCACAGTCATGTATTGGACCATAATGTTCCAGTAGAGTACAGACCAAATATAAGACAGTGGTCACTTCCGTTGGCGTTGACTCCTGGCATCAGAGCTGCTTGAGCAATGACAGGATGACCTGGGAGCTAATTGCTCAAAGTATCCCCATCATTAACGACACTGGGTTATATAAAATACTTAACAAAGTAAAATATAAAATAAAATAAAATAAAATAAAAAATAGAGGGCTGGGAAGCAGCTCAGTGATTCAGAGCACTGGTTGCTCTTCCAGAGGACAGGGGATCCCTTCCCAACGCCCACTCGGTGCCTTACTTACATTATGACTCCAGTTCCAAGTGATCTGTCGCCCTCTTCTGACCACTGTGGGTACTGCATGCATTTGATACATGCAGGCCGAACATCCATAAACTTGAAAGAAAGTAAATCTTTTTTTTTTTTTTAAGTTTAAAGAAGTGTTTCTTACTTTCTTTAGAACAGAAAGCTTTCACATAGGAAATAACATTAGGGGATAGTGAGAAAGTTGTCTGTTTCTCCCTTCAGCATAGAGCTGCAAGGAGCCTCCTGCCGACCTGCTCGTTCGACAGGAAATATCTTAATAATAACAGCTGTTTGTTGATTTTTTTTAAATCTAACATCCAAGTAAACTGTACTACAATTTATTCTGTAGTACAAGCTTCTATATTACCTCCAAGTCTGTCTCTCAGGTCCCGGCAGGGGATGGGGGCAAGACCAGCTGCCAGCAGTCGATCAGTAGCTGAACTGAAAGCATCCACGGCACGGCACTTGCCCTAGTTACTTTTCTGTTGCCGTAAGAGACGTCATACCAAGACAACTTATAAAAGAAAACGTTTATTAGGGCTCATGGCTCCAAAGGGTTGGAGTCCATGATCGCTGTGGAAGGAAAAATGGCAGGAGACAGGCAGGCAGGCATGGTGCCGGAGCAGTAACAGAGAGCTTGCTTACATCTGGTCCATATGCACAGCAGGAGACAGAGAGATTGATGGAATGGCGTAGCATTTTGAAACCTCAGAGCCCACTCCCAGTGACACACCTCCTCCATGAGGCCACACCTCTTAACCATTCCACCAGTTGTCGACCAAGCATTCAAATATATGAGCCTACGGGCTTTTAGTGCCCCTTTCATCTCTTTGTATGTAAACTTTGGGCAGTTTGGGTCTACTGGCTATGTTCATTCATTTACGCTATCTCCCCCTCCTTCTCTCTCAGAATGGTCACCCCTCTGCTTTCTTTATAACCTGCCTATGTGAGTGTCCTAGTGGCAGCTCCATGTGTCGTCCAGTTTGAGATTTACTCTCTGACTTAGACCCAAGCCTGTTTCTGTTTCCTACTGAGATAACTCAAGACCCCCACATTCTATGTTGTCTTTGCTTTGACCTCTCTGCCTCTGAATATGAGTCTTTGTAACATTACTCTTTCTGTCGTTGCTAACGAGTCCTTTTAGATAATTGCCCTTCATTGCTCCCCTATGGAATGTTAATGCCACACAGAAGCTGCATAGCTGCATGTTTTTATGTAAGTCCAGCTTTTGCCCCCTTTGAGGAGACCTCCCCTTTGATTATATGTAATTATTTACCACCCCTTCCCTTATTTTGATTCTGAACTGTATTTTACCCATAAATGTCCAATATTGCTTCTTACTGTCAACACTTCATATCTATTTATACATTCTCTTTCTTTTGTATTATTATTATAATTTTGATGCTGGTAATTGAATCCAGGGCTTCATTCAAGATCTCCGTCACTAAGCTATATCCTTAGCCCTGGTCTTCACTATGTATTGAACTACTACCTTCCTATGCTTTTTAAAAATACCAAAGGATTATTGACCACTGCAGCAACATCAAAAATATAAATAGAGAGGCCGGAGAGACGGCTCAGCAGCGAAGAGTGCTTGCTGCTATTCCAGAGTATTCGAGTTCAGTTTCCAGTACTCAAACTGGGCAGCTCACACTGTCTTGTATTACAAGCTCCAGGGGACCTGACACCCTCCTCCGATCCCTCTCACACTCATGTGAAAGGCACACAAATAAACATAACTAAAAATAAAAGTAAATCATTTAAGAAAAAGAATATAAATTAAGGATCACTTGAGTCCTAAGTGTTGGTAACTGTCCTATGAATCTTATGCAGGTTTACACTGCTTCTCTTCTGTTTTTTATTCTTTACACTAGAGTCACCTGTCCTATAATGCATCACTTCATCATATACCTTTTCGATCTACCATGATAACATTTGCATTTCCCACAGTACAATTTTTTTGAAAGATTGATTTTAATGACCAAAAGAAACATCATATGGTTTCATAATTGTTTAGTAAGTATTGTCTATTACTGAAATTTCTCGTTTGTTATCTGTATTATCTATATGATCATTTTGTATCATTCGGAGTAAGAACATTCTTAATTGTTTTCTCCTGGAGCTGTCTAGAAGCAAACCTGTCAAGTTAAAGGCTATGAATATTTGTAATATTCATATTTTGCTAGTATTCCTTTTAGAATTGTTGTGCCTATTTATAGTTCCACTGGTAGTTTAGGGGCCTTTGTCTTTTTCCGGTAACCTCTACTGGTCAAAAATAGGCTATACTGCAGGGGTCATAACTTCATTACTAAATGAATAGATTTATTTAAGATGTTTACCTATTTCTATGCAAGAAAAAAAAAGGCAGATCTTTTAAGACTGATGTCCGATAGCTAAATTCTTCTGTCATTACTGTTTTTTTTTCAATTAGGATTTTTCTCTCAACCTTTCAACAAATAAACTTTGCACCCAGTGTGTAAGATTCAAAGCAAAAGCATCACTTTGACATCCCAGCATCGAATCTATGAAAAAGTATAGAGAACAGATTTCGCTTCCTCCTGATGGCTGGCCTTCTACCAAACATAATTTTCTCATGATTTCCACATTGACCTTTAGTATCTTAAACAAAGCTTTGCGATTGTCCTCATGTAGGCTCCATACTTTTATAAGTGGCTGTATTGTTCATGGGTTGTTCCACTCCCCAAATCTCAGTTGTATTAATATTCAGGATCTATCAAAGCCCCTTGATGTATGCTGGATTCCATTGCATTGCACGGATCTCACTCTCGCTGTATTAACATGTCAGATCCTGGGGGAGAATCTGCCCGAACATCTATCCTGCAGACTACCCAGCATCACTGGCCACTCAGTAGATGAGGCTGATATTACCACTAGCCAATTAGGTCGGCGTGAGTGGAGCTCGTTGCCCTGGTTTCATCTCTGACATGCAGCGCAGCCATGAGCACTGTTTTGGAAGCAGTTCCGTTCAGGAGCTCAGATTGCACCCTTCCCCTCTGTGTACTCTGGTGTTCACTTTTTTTATGTCGTTTTGTTTACAGGCAAACTGGCATTGACCACCTGCCTTCCCCAGCAGCCGTCCAAACCTCCCGGAGCCGGTTACCCCCAATAGGCTCTGAGACTGGGGAGCAGAACACAGCAGCCCCCGGATCCCGCCCTGTTTCTGTAAGATGAATTGCATTATAATTGCAGCCATTTATATAGTCTGTGAGAAAACAGTCTTGGCACAACCAGAGAAGTGAATCCTACCTAAGGGTGAGCTAGTTAGCTGTGTTCAACATGCCATCAGAATCTGCTTCTAGAAATGAAGTGGCCTGTGAGACTCTGGAGGGATCCAGGAGATTGATTCATTGTTTCGTGAAGTAAAACCTCAGCTTGATCTAAACTAGAAAGTCCAGGTGCCAAGGAAAGACCTGAAACTCTGGCTGGTGTAGTAAACAGAAGAGCTCAAAGGGCAAGAGGCGGGCAGCTCTGCACTTCAGTGTCGCCACACAGAGATTTGACAAGTTACTTCAGGGGTCCTGAATCTTGGTCCTCTCTTCTTTAGAAGATCAACAGCCATTTCCTTATTCAGGGGGTCCTTAAAAGCGTTAGACGCATTCATAAACTTTAAATGCCGTGCACAAATTAAGAGCTCAGTAAATCATACTCAATGTCCTTTATATCTGCTTCACTTTTATTTGTAATCTTTTCTGCACGTGCTCAGAGCAGAGCCCAAGGCCAGTTCAGCCATGCAGTTGTGGGCCTGGGAAGAAATGCTGCTGGCAGTGTGTATATCCAAGCGTCCCTCAGACTTACATCGACCCCTCACTTACTCTGACATAGGACACTTGTATATGCAGGACAGAAGGGTCCTGTTTGTAGGAACATAAAGTAGAGAGGGAGTAAGCAAACCTTTTGTCTCACACGCACTAAGTATCAATAGGACCCTTTCCAGAGAACAAGCGCTATGGAGGTAGGCTGTTTAATCCTAGGATAAAGTAATCAATGGTGACAGCTATCACATAAACAAGTCTGATTCTTCAAATATGCACTATTTATTTCTCTGGACCTCATTTACCTCCTGTTGTATACAGTTTTATTAAATTTAGTGATGTGAATACATACTCCACACACAGACTCAGGTTTAAATGATTCCATAGCAAACCTTAACACTGTTAGCAGTGTGTCAATGAAAATGTTTGAATAAGTGTGTGGTCGAACCCATGAATGAATGATTGAAACATCTATAGGTTTCTTTTTTGTTGTCCTAAGAAGTATGTTTCTTCTAAAAAGAACATATTGTCTCCACTTAGTACAGGGGAAGGCACCCACAAAACCGTGTGTTCAGCGCAATTCCTGACAGCATGGAACGGTCACCCCTTCGAGAAAGGACCATTGTCCTGGAACAGCTTTCGAGGCCCAGCACAACACATACATTCCGGGTAGGTTCTGTGTTAGCTCTGATTTCAATTTTAAGTAAAAATTGAAAACAATACAGTTCATCCTTCTTACTCTTTTCCCTTTTCTCTCGACAGTCAGACACACCGAGAAAAGGCTCCCTGACACCCGTGGAGTTTGTTGCTCACTCTTGGATGGGTCAAAGCATTTTGACAGGTTAGCGTCTTTCACATGTGAAGACAATAGTAGAAGCTGGGTGTGGTGACATACTGCAGCCATCTTAGCACTCAAGAGGCTGAGGCAGGAGGATGGAAAGATGGGGACCACTGGGCTATAGAGTGAGGGTGTCAAAGAAGAGGGGCAAGGACTAGGAGGGGGCAACATGGACACACACACACACACACACACACACACACACGAGAGAGAGAGAGAGAGAGAGAGAGAGAGAGAGAGAGAGAGAGAGAGAGAGAGCGAGCAAGAGAGAGAGAGAGAGAGAGAGCGAGAGAGAGAGAGCGAGAGAGAGCAATGGAGCTTTGTGAGACTTTAAGCTCCTGCTTTCACCAAACAGGAAAGACAAGCAAAGGAATGTGGTCCAAAGTTGGCCTGAGCTCAGACACCATGCCAGACCATCACCTACCCGCTGCTGAGGGCCAAGTGACAAAGGCAGACGTGCTCTTAATGAACTAAGACCTCACTCCCCTAAAGCAAAGGAGCAAAGAAGCAGCTGCCTTCAGAGAGGCCACTGTCTCTTCCTTGTATTTTGTTTTTCTCTCTTTTAAATGAAACCCTTATTCTGGATCTGCTGTTAAAATCTATTGTGACAATGCTTGAGAAAATTAAAACAGACCCCTTAATTGGTTTGCAGTGCAGGGTTTTACATAAAAGTAAAAACGTTTTCTGGGCCTAGTGTGCTAGTGGCAGAAGACAGTTCTAGTGGGGATAGGAACCAGTGATGGTTTGGTTTTTAAAGTGTACTGTATTTCTGTCCTCAGAGTGAGCATAGCATGTAACGTACAGATCTATTCTATTTCCAGCCTGTTGCCACCACTCACAAGCTGAAGAGGCTCAGGGATGTCTCCACTGCTTGGGGTGGGGTGGGCAGGCATCTGACCAGCAGGACTGAGCCGATGGCTATTCCTGGTAATGATGGAAGATCGAATTGAAAGGCTCTAATTAGCTTCCTTTGGATGTGTTGATTGCACTACACCAAGTGGCACACACATCTAATGGGTTTTTGGGGCAAAGAGAGGTTGAGTCGAAGAGAGAGTTGGCCTCTGGGTTAGTTTTAAATATGCATGGTTAATCATTCAAACATTAAATCAGCATATTTTTTTGTTTGTTTTTTGTTTGTTTGTTTGTTTGTTTTTTCGAGACAGGGTTTCTCTGTGTAGCCCTGGCTGTCCTGGAACTCACTCTGTAGACCAGGCTGGCCTCGAACTCAGAAATCCACCTGCCTCTGCCTCCCAAGTGCTGGGATTAAAGACGTGCGCCACCACCGCCCGGCAGCATATTTTTTTTTTTTAATCACCATCCTCATGGGTGCTTAGAGATCTTTTGCACTTCAATACCCGAGACCAAAGGTTTCTAAGAGACACGTTTCTGTACTTCTAAGGGTTTATTTTCTTTTTGCCTAGGAAACAGGCATGTGGCTTCCTTGTTAATTCTGCTTCCCGAACAAGGACCACCAGGAGCTACTGTCTTAGCTTTCAGGTAGCTCTGTGGTAGGAAAATAAATTGAGATGATAACTATCTCCGAGGATGGAGTGTATCTGTCACGGCAGGCAACACTGCTCCAGCTCAGAAGGACCACCCTTCCCATCTTCCTGAGCTCTAGACACAGACCTCTGCGGAGAAAGTTTCTGCAAACCTCTCAGCTGTGGGAGAATGCAACAGCACCTGGGTTTGGTTGAGGAAGGGTTATGTTCTCCTTAGGATCTACCAAATGATGTTTGCATATGACTGCTTTGTAGTTTGTGCAAATGTGACATTAAATAAAATATTTTTTATTTTTTCAAAGCAACATAGCAGGGAGCAGACAGACCAGCCTTCTTTAGAGATTGAGTTTTAATCTTTTAATGGAAATACCTGTGTGTCTCGTGTTTCAGGTTCACAGTATCTGCCTAAATCTTATCAGAGGGCAACCCTGACTGCAAGAAAGAGGTTCCAAGTGGCCTCATGATGTTACCGCTCCAGAATTACGGACTTGCTAGAAGCTCTGAAGCCTTGGCCACACCATTTGTAACTCGAAAAGCAGAGGAACAAGTATTACCTGGTGTATATATTCATCTCTCTGGCATCAGGAGACTATAGCACACCTGAGAGGATCACAGGAAAATAAGTAACTTAGTTTTGAAGACTTGTAAAGCATTGTAAAGAAAATAAAAGTTGAACTCCCTAAGCCTTATGGGAAGCAGGCCTGAAGCTCCGTGGGCTCTTGTGCTTTGCCTAAAAGAACCTAATATGCCCTTAACATCTTTATAATTAGTTTTTGCACACAGATGATATGAGTACATTCCCTAAGAAGACACCATTTTTGACTCTATATACCTTCATGTACATTTCTGTCTTACTCTTTTAATGATTCATTCCATCAAAACTAAATAGCAGTCACATTTGAGACAATTTGTCCATTTGAAAAAATGATTCTGGTTCTTCTATTCATTGTGCTGACTTTAAAATAATTGCTGCATATACAATGTATAAAGGGATGGGTTTCATAATGGCAAGATTTCACATGCCTTTGTTATACAGACTGATTAGTTGTGAATATCTGAGAAATGTATTGTAAGCCAATTGTGTTAAAATGCAATGGTAAACTAGTTTTTGTTGTCCAATTTAGACTGTATATCTAAAAGTATCCCACATTTAAAGATGAATATAAGCATAATTAAAGTCCACTGCATACAGTTCCAACATCGACACTTAGGTTAACATGTTTGACAACTGGACAGAAGAAATGGTAACACCAGGATCCTTACTTACATCTTCCCAACCTACCTCTGCTCTGATTCTGAAGTAACTTCTTTGATACAGTCTGTCTGAGCCCTGTTGAAGGCAGTAGTTCCTTCTACTGTCTGCCCTTTCCTACTCTGGATTCTTCCAACCATATGTCCAACCTGACTCCTACAGCCAGCGGAGTTGAAGAAGACAAATAAGTTGGAGGCCAGACCCCTTTTTGGTACTTACTCCTGATTGGCTCTCATACACAAGCATCTCAAATCAGCATACTTTCCCCTTTTTATCAGCTAATTATACTACATCAGTGTGAACCTTATTAATCTAAAGTGAAATTTTACTACATACGTGTATGTGTATGCATATAGCATTTAAACATGTGATAAATTGTTTTCTGGACATTTCTTGTTATAAGAAGTGAGGATCATTGTCTACTTGGAGATGTTTGGGAATTGACCCCTCTCTGTGTGGTGAGAAGAGTTGGATCTGCTCTTTCACCTAGAGTGAAAGAGATCAGAAATGACTTCAAAGCTTTGTTCTACTTGAGAGTTTCACTTCACCCTCTCCACTCCAGCTTCTGCAGTGGTGGGACATGCTAGGGACATGCTAAAGACATGCCAGGGACATGTCAGGGACATGTAGGGAATGGATAGCGGTCAAGCTGCTGTATGGATACTTCGTTCCAGTTGGTCACTCTGAGAGAAACTCTCTTTGGCTAGGGAATGTGCCTAGGGCTCAGTTTCTCACACCAAAGCATTCTGGGCTTTATCTGAACTATTTATTTCTCATCATAAGCTGTGGGAGCACGTCAGAGAAAACATCAGTCTTCACGCAGCTGCTCTCGGGATAGAGAGTGGCTACCGTCCTGCTCACCAGTGCCTGGCTGGCTGCTCTGTGGTCCGTTACCTTTGCTAAGAGAGCTATCTACTGTGCTCTCACATCCAATCAGCTCACTTCTTATCAATCCCTAGGTTCCATCCGATGGTTTCTCCCTCAACCCAAAGTCTGAAAAGGGAGGTGGCTCACAGCACGTCTAACAATAAGATAGTGACTCCAAGATAAATTATTATTTTTTTCAAAGAGCCACGGAAGTGATTTAATGGCAGCTCTGCTATGTTCGCCTTCACAGGCAGTTGGAAATATATTCTTTATATCAGCAAAGGAATGGATTAAAAATAGGAAACAGGTACAGTTTTTAATCATCCAGGCAGTTTGAGTGGAAAACAAAATACTGTTAGATGGTATCTAAAACCAACCTTTGCCAGGGTCTTATTTTCATGCTCATGTTCAAGGCATTTCATTTATAGGTGAAATGGGATGCATACATTAGTAAATTATGCTGTGTGAGGGTGGGTGCTGTTTAGACTGAAAAAGGAAATATGGAAAATTCTACTTCCATAAATGACTCTTATCGTAAGCTGTCTGGTAAAAAAGGAAAATGGAAAATCACTTCTGAGAAAAAAATTCAAATACAGGTTAGCAACTCCATGAAATAAAATACCTTTATTTTATTCCAAGCCAAAGAAAGAATGAGGGGATTTTAAAAACAATTCAAGAAAATATAAAATGTAATGGAAAATGTCTAGATTTATAAAAAAATATCTGGATAGATATATAAATAGATAGATAGATGATAGATAGATAGATGATAGATGGATGGATAGATAGATAGATAGATAGATAGATATGAAGAAGCATGCATCTTTGTATTTGTGTTTAACTGAACTTGGATGGCATGTCTTTACTAATCCAGAGGTTCATTTTTAATGCCATAAATGATTTCAGTATATTTTTTACTATCATTGTTTTCTTATAATGATGAATGATTGTTCAGGAGTTTTAATCATTTAATTTTTAATAAAATATAAGATGTTAAAAGGGTTTCTAAGAATGTCATTGGATTTATAAAAGCGTCCTTATATTCCAATTTTATATGAGTTCTGCAACTGTCTCTCATTTTGCAGTTTCAAACACACAAGCATTTGTTCCTCCTTTCCTTTCCTTTCCTTTCCTTTCCTTTCCTTTCCTTTCCTTTCCTTCCCTTCCCTTCCCTTCCCTTCCCTTCCCTTCCCTTCCCTTCCCTTTCCTTTTCTTTCCTTTTCTTTTCATTCTTTTTTTGTCTTGTTTTGCTTTGTCTTGTTTTGTTTTGAGATAAGGCTTCTCAGAGTAGCCCTGGCTATCCTAGAACTCACTCTGTAGATGAGGCTAGCTTTGATCTCAGATTCGCCAGCTTCTGTCTCTTGAGTGGTGGGATTAAAGACATGTGCCACCAATGCCCAGTACCTGGCTCTTTTGTTGAGTCAGGCTTCATGTAATCTTAGGCTTCAAATTCTCTATGCAGAATGGCTCTGAGCTCCTGATCAGCCTTCCTCCATGGCCCGAGTGCTGGAATTTGTACATGTATGCAACTATTCCCAGATTATTTAATTATTTCCAAGTAGACAGGAGACTTTTCCTAGCAAATTTATAGTAGATAGATAGTAGGTAGGCAGTGGGAGAGAATGGGAGGGAGGGAGATATCTGTTTTGCTCATCTACAAATTGTCCACTTTCTCCACCCCTTAGGACAAATCTTCAATGCCTATCCTCCTCCTGTATGCAACACTCACAAAGCTCCTAAGCTTGGCATCCAGCCCCTGTCTGCTCTACCCTAAACTCAGAAATTATCTTGGGCTACCTCCCTGAAAGTAGCCAGCGCTCTTCAGAGCCACCCTGACAGTGTGGTAGCGCTCATGCCTTTCCATGTTTGGAAACTTGCCTTCACCCATGTCCCTGTTTGTCCCTTACTGAGACACGCCCCAACTTGTCTTTGAAGAGATGGGTTTGTCTTACAATTCTCCTTTGTCTACAGAGATTAGCAGCAAACCACATAGAGGCATATCTTCTCCTCCTATAGCTGTCATTGAGCCTGCAGCTCAGCCTCGGTCCTTTCAGGACTCCCTTTAGAGGGGAAGAAACTAAAGCCCATGAGACATACTTAACAACAGTAAGTAAACATGATATTTCTTAAGGATGTCTGAAAGTGATTCAATAATGCAGAAGAAAATAAAAAAAAAAAAACCCTCTACGTTTTCCACCTCCACGACTGCCTGGTGTAGTTGCAAAGAAAAGTTTTCTTCTGTTATATCTATGCATTAATGAGATATTGGTGTATTCCATTACGTATCATGGAATATAATAAATATAGTAAATTAATACAATTCTTGAAAACAGGCAATTTTAAGGCTGAAGATATACTATCATACCTTGGCGCACTTCTACTCATAGGCATATATATATATATTGAATGGAAATATGTACATAATTGAGTCAAAAGATATCTATGAGAAGGAATATTCATAGTTATCCATAGCATAGAAAACATTTATATTTATATTACTATCTTTTATGAAATATATTAATGTTCTACACTAACGTGTGGATACATACACTATGGAACATGCTACTTTGAATACTTATGTAATGATAACATATATATTTTGCTTTGATATTTGTTTTCTTTGGCTCTTTCTCTTAATGTTTTATCAATTTCTTTTCATGTCAATACACACTGATGGCTCTTTAAAAAAAATGACTTCAGGGGTGGACAACATGGCTCAGCTGGCCAAAGAGCTTGCGGCCAAACTTGACCACCTGAGTTTGATCCCCCAAACCCACATGGTGGGTGGCTGTTGTTGTCCTCTGATCTCCATGCTCGCATACAGTTTAAAAAAATGTAGTAACTTTTTAAAAATTCAGCAGAGGAAAGCCCCAGGCATGTTTTCTCCAGGTCACAGAAGTCACACCGGTGACTGTGGGCAAACTGCACAGTCTCTGTAAGAAATAATTCAAGAAAATGGGAATACAAGACATCTTTGAATTTCAACTTTCTTGGCACTCTATCCAGTGTGCTTAGGCAAGAGCACTTGTAGTCCCACCCTTTGGTAAGGATAGTTGGGTGAAGAACAGGAACTAGTATTTGGGATGGACACCTCCATCGGTAGCTAGAAAACAGCCCCTCTAGTGCCTTCTCTCTGGCCTTTCCCTTCTTCAGGCTTGGCAATTTTCGCTTCATTTTGACTGTGTGCCCTAATTATTGTTTCCAACTCTCCTCATAGCACGCCCTCTTCCATCCTCTTCTGAACACCCCACCGATCCCCCATCCTTGTTCTCTCCAATTTTGGCTTCCCTTGATCAGAGAATATTTAGGGAAGTGCCTAGACTCCTTCAGCTCTGGTGACTCAGTCTGTCAGCTGACACTCACTGGATCTGTGGCTTCCCTAAATTTCTAGGTCATGGGACGGTGGTTGCTGTGCCTGACCTTAAAGCAGAGGCCTGAGTGTGTCCCTTGTCCCTGGGCAGCCAGCCCTGCCCCAAGGCAGCAAATGATATAGGTTTGCGCAAGGGCTAATGAATTTAGAATTCCAAAGACTGTCTTTCGACACCAAGAACTCTTCACTTGAATGTTTTAAACAGACTGCTTAGGAGATCCGTAATCCTTCCACACTGCAAGGGAGTTGCAAAATCCTAAAACAGCCCTCTTTAGCAGGCCCCAGGGTGTCCGGAACTGGTGATGTGAATTTCTAGTTTCTTCTCCATCCCTAAGCTACCCTAAATTCGACTTCCCCTACCGTCGTCATATTTCCACACCGAGAGCATTCACGTGCATTCTGAACTTCAGAGCTCAGAAGTTGTTCCGGTCTTTCGCTTTCGCCTTGAACCCCAGTTGCTAGTACGTATTGCGCAGACTCCTGCAGGGCATCACAACAAACCTGTGGCGCTTTATTTGCCAGCCTCTGAAAGTTTGTCCCCAGGGCCTGGCAGCAGAGGCTACAGATTTTCCCAGCTCTAGAGCAGGAAGATCTGAGAGAAGCTGGTGTGCTCCCGGGAGGGGTCCTCTCGCTAATCCTGGAGCTCCTACATCCCGGACTTTCCGAACTTGTCCCCTGAATCGGAGAGGAGAAAGAAAAGACCTCCCTCCCCTGCACCCTGCCGCGACCCTGATCGTCACCCTCTCACTGGCAACCCATAGAGAAGAGGAGAATCAGAGAGATGTTGTGGCTGTGGTTAGGGCTCAGCGGGCAGAAACTATTGCTTTGGGGCGCAGCGAGCGCGGTCTCCGTGGCCGGCGCCACTATTCTGCTCAACATCCTGCAGATGCTGGTAAGCTATGCGCGGAAATGGCAGCAGATGCGGCCAATCCCGTCGGTGGCTCCCGCCTACCCCTTGGTGGGACACGCGCTGTATATGAAGCCCAGCAACACAGGTATGTGTTTGTACAAGGTAATGTCTACACAGACCCTAAGGCTGCTAGGCTCCTTGTCAGTCTGAGAAGTCTGTCAGCCTTCAATGGACTGCTTCTCCTCCCTCCCAATTGTATCTTGCCACAATTGAAGTCCACACATCCCTCAGACCCTCAGACTCAGCACTGGCAGCTAAAAGAAAGAAGAAATCTTTCACTTCCTAGGAAATCGATTCCTAATTCTCCCGATTCCGGCTTCCACTCTGGTGCCTGCCAAATTGCTTTGTGTCTGTCATCCTATAATGAACATAGCAAACATATATGTGTGTGTTTCCAAGTAAAACTTGATCAATATGCAGTTAAAATCCTCCTGGCCTTTGTATTTCGATCATCCTCAGGAAGTCTTTTCAAGGGCGCTTCAGGAGACTCTACTGTCGGGCGCTTAAGGGAAATTTATGTGGCTAGTTTCAAAAACCTTACTTATTGGAGAGGTTTTTGTTGTTGTTTTTTTCTATTTTTAAAACTTGAAATACTTTTTAAAAAGACGTTTTATGCGAAAATTTTTGTTCTATTGCTTTAAAAAAATACCTTAAGTCAGAAAGTCCTTAAGAGTAGTGGTATCTGTGGTTCTCTGCTAGGGATAGTGTATTCAGTCTTAACAGTTAATTTTCACGGTTGTGTAAGCTGAGACACCCAGAACTGAGAAGAGACTTCCAGATGGCACATTTTAAAAGAAACTGCACCAGAGCCCACCTTTTCTTCAGATTAACTATTAATAGTTGTTTTACAGGCTGACTATCCATTTTAAATCTTTTTTTAAAATATAGTTGCATCCCATTTTATTTTTTTAATTTTTATTGGTTATTTAGTTAATTAATTTATTTACATTACAAATGTTGTCCCTCGTCCTGGTTTCCCCTCTGCAAACCTCCTATCCTATCCCCCTCCTCCTGCTTCTATTAGGATGCTCCCCCACCCACCCACTCCTGCCTCACTGCCCTAGCATTCCCCTATGCTGGGACATTTAAATCTTCTTAAGATCCTTTTATTACCACTTCTGTGACCCTGGACAAAAACTGTCACAACAACTTAACTTGAATAACATGGGACATCATGGGAAAATTTGTACCAAAATACTATCTAGCAGAAATCTGAGCAAACCCATGCTGTTTAGTTGACTAATACTCAAAAGAAAGCTAACTTCTTTTTCCACTCTGACACTTGAGAGTATGTCCTAACCATTTCATTGTGAAAAATCACGGAAGATGAAAATACAAAACCCAAAATGCCCAGTGGTGAATAAAAGGGTGATTTCCGTAGAAAGCCAGAATCTCAGGAAACAGTTCAGTGTCTCTGGCTATATACAGAGAGTCCTATCACGTTAAGTAAAATTAGCCACCTCAGGACCCAGTAAGGCATTATTTTGAGTGTGTGGTAAATAGTTTTTCAAAGGAGATTAGTGAATCTGAGTGGCCCAGAAAAGAAAAACTCATCTTTACCGTGAGCAGAATCTTAACACCCTGAGTACAGAAGACACAATGCAGAAAGCAAACGTGTCTCTCTGAAATTTTCTTCAGTTACCTTGGTCATCAGAAGTCTGGGCTTGCCAGCCTTCAGACTTTACTGCTTAGGCAAGCCCCTGGCTTTTGCTGCTTCCTCTTCCCCAGTTTTCTATGCAAGTATTTCGTTTGCCATCACTGCTGTTACCTCTGACAGTCTAGACTGCTCAAAGACTCAAGGCTTCTAACTCAGTTTAGACATTGTCTTTGCACATTTGTCTCAGCACAAATACATTATCCGAAGGTTGACTTCTTGAGGAAACATTGTGCATGGTGTGTGTAGGAGTGTGTGTGTGTTCATGCATATATCCGTGTGAATGTGTATGTTTGAGTGTATGTGTGTGTATGTATGTGTGTGTATGTGTGTATGTATGTGTATGTGTGAGTTTGTGTGTGTGTGAATGTCTGTGTGTGTGTGTGTGTGTGTGTGTGTAAGAACATTGAGGCACTGTCGGGGAATGAAGAGATCTGTTCCCACAAAAGACAGCCTCGAGGCCTCAGCTCTTTGGCCCCTGCATTTCCTCACCAAGGGAATTCTGTGTCCCCATCTGTCCTCATGACACTTCAGATGCTAACAATGGTTCAGGGAGGTGCACACAATTACAGTGATAGTGATATGTGTTTATACATTTTAGGTTTTGAACCATTTCTTTATGAACACAGTTAATCTGCTCATGATCCTTGTTAATATGTCCAGGTGTTTTTATTGTAAATCATGTGTTATTGTTGCTTTATTTTATCGCACAGAGTGGCCTCTGAAGCATTCTAGCATTTTTACTTTATTTTGTTTTATTTTTTCAACAGTCTTTGCAGTAAATCACTTTCCATAATTTTAAGGAAATGTCTTTCTCTAACATTTTCACAAATTATGTTTCTGTATTTTTATTTTCAGGGTTTTGGGTTTTAGATATTTTGATCTTTCCTGATTTCCCTCATTTGGGATTATAAATGCTTGGGATCAAAATTCTTGGCCTTAGAACCCCTCCAACTTTACCCTTGGAAAGTCTCATGTTTTGTAGACGTCTCAGTGACTAAGACCAGTTGAGAGAAACTTTGTGCTGCTGGGATTCCTTAAAGTCATTCTCCTTGGAGTAAGCCTGAGGAGGGAGAATGGCCCCTCACAAAGGGATCACGTATTCAGTCTACAAGCACTGAACTGGAGGATGAGAAGTGTTGCCCAACTTTCAGTTATGAAACTGACTTGCTTGGAAGGTTGCTAAGAACTCTCTGTGCTAAGGGCTTTATTGTTGTTCTTACTCATTTTGTTTAGAGCAATAACATCTGCAGTTCTTTTTAGGATTAAAATATAATCTGGACCAAATTACTGGGTCTTCATCTAAGATGTACTTGTTTACAATAAGCCTTTTAATTGCCAATCAAGCATTTATTGAGGCCCTTTGTACTCAGCATGAGCTCAGCAAAATTGGGCCTATCAGAACCTACTAAGACACAACCTCTGATCTGAGTGACACTGTCCCTTATGCAAGAGGCTGTGACTTTTATACTGTGGCTAATGTCCAGATTCAGGCCTCAGTGACCTCACTCTCAGTACATGTGGACTCCAGTTGGCATCTAAGCTATCCCAGTAGGGCCCAACTTTTGGATGCCTACCAACCACAGATTCAAAAACTGCTGACTCTCCATCACATCAGACCAAGCAGGCATAATGCTAATGTAAACCAGAATGCTTTGGAACTAATGATTTGATACAGACCACAAGTTAAAAATATTTCAACACATACATATGTACATACATATGTGTGTATCTCTGTGAATGCATGGCACATGTGTGCAGGTGTCTGTGGAGGTCAGAAAAGGATGTTCAATCCCCTGTAGCTATATTTAAAGTGTTCGGCTAGGAGTGGTAGGAATTGAACTTGGGTCCTCAGGAAAAGTAGTAGTAAGTACTTTTACCCACTGAGCCATTTCTCCAGTTCTAATTTTTAAACTTTTAAAATAAAAATTATATATATATATAGTTAGTTAGTTAGTTAGTTAGTTAGTTAGTTAGTTTGCGTGTATTTGTATGTGTATGCATGCTATGCCACAGTGCATGTGTAGAGGTCAAAGGGCGTCCACCTAGAGCCAACTCTTTCCTTCCATCCTGTAATTCCAGGTATCAAACTCAGGCTGTCATGCATGGCAGCAGACAATTTCACTGGCTGAATCATCTTTCCAGCTCTTCCCCTGCTATTTCAACAATACTTTTATCTGAGACATTTGGGGTCTCTTTTTCAAGTGCGATACAATGGTTCAGATGTCAAGTTCTGAGTCTTGGGCCAAAGCCAGGTTTTACTATTTTTTTTTTACAGGACCATGGTATTGGGCATTGATTTATTAAGAATGTACATTTTACCATACCAAATCCTAATAAGTATCTTATAATAACTTACATCACTGTTACATTTATCTGAAGGACAGATAGCATTTTTTTTAAATAACCTTACAGCTACAGGAATGTTGTACAACTCCTGCGAGCTCACACACCCTCTCCAGCTTCCTCTAACAGTGACATAAAACACGTCTTGTGTATTTGCTGAAAGGAGATATTGAACGTCTGTCCCATTCACTGAACAGATTCTAGTCTTGATTGAGTTTAAGACAGAAACATTTTTCTTCCAGAATTTTTTCAGCAGATAATTCAGTACACAGAAGAATTTCGACACCTGCCAGTCATTAAACTTTGGATCGGTCCAGTGCCCCTGGTGGCACTCTATAAGGCGGAGAATGTAGAGGTGAGTGTATAAGATCACACTGGATAGATAGTTCATGGGATAGGCTCTGATACAAGAATTTCATCAGAACACAAGGAACAAATACATCTTCCAATTTCATCGCACTCTCTCCAAAGAGCATTACATTCGCGAGGCATTGTGCAGGCTACTCAGTGATTTGTTGTTGCAATTCGGTTGCAATCCTGGGAGAATAACTCCCCATGGCTGTGTGTATCTCTTATTAGGTCTCAGTATACTTGCTCTGCTTTTAAAAGAAATTTCTGAAGGAGATCATTGTTGTTATTTTGGGGTTTTAGTGTTTTGTACTGAAGATTAAATCTAACACCATTGCATGTCATGCAAATCTTCGTCCACTGAGGTCTATTTATAGCTTCTAATTTTGAGACACTGAGTTGTTCAAAGTGGCTTTGACCTCATCTGATAGATAGTCCAGGTTACCCTTGAACTTGTCTGTCACTCTCCTGTCTTAGTTACCTAAATAGCTAGCACAGTGACCCTGCACCAAGCCTCATGTACCAGGCACAGTTTTTTTTTTTTTAAGAGTTCAAAATTCATGACTAATAAAATAGGGGTGTTTTCATCATGGTGTTCAGGGCCTCATAATATATCAATGATATACTTAATTATTGTACTGAGGATATGGAGCATAAAGAAAAGAAACTAAACTTTGGTGTTGTTTGCCCAAGAGTGAGCCGGGAGTCTTAGTTTTCTGACCTGATGTCTGGAACAGAGGTTTTCTTAATTATTTAGTTCTTTTGCTTGTGATGAAACATCATGACCAAGATCACTTTTAAAGGAAAGAGTTTAATTTGGGGCTCCATGGTGCTAGAGGGTTAAAGTCCATGAGCATTATGGTAAGGGGCAGGGGATGGGGGGAGGGGGCAGGGGCAGGCAGGGGATGTCGACAGGGGATGGGGGCAGATGAGAGGGGGCAGGGGAGAGGGGGCAAAGGACAGGGGGCAGGGGGCAGGGGACAGGGGGCAGGGGATGGGGCAGAGGAGAGGGGGAGGGGCAGGGGACAGGGGATGGGGGCAGAGGAGAGGGGGAGGGGGAGGAGCACAGGACAGCAGGCAGCAGGCAGCAGGCAGCAGGCAGCAGGCAGCAGGCAGCAGGCAGCAGGCAGCAGGCAGCAGGCAGCAGGCAGCAGGCAGCAGGCAAGCATGCTGCTAAAGTAGAAGCTGAGAGCTCACATCTCAATCCACAAGAATCAGGCAGAGAGCTAATTGGGAGTTGGCTTCTGAAACTCAAAGCTGACTTTCCATGACACGCCTCATTCAACAAGGTCACACCTTCTAGTTCTTCTCAAATGGTCCCACCTATGGATGACCGAACATTCAAATGTATGCGCCTCTGGAGAGGACTCTCGTTCAAACCCCCAGAGAGGCTTTCCTCTCCGTTTATGAAACGGCTCGGTGACTATAGTATTGAGAAAAGTGAGGAACGTTTGTCTTAATATTTTATAGAATTTTATAAAGTGAAAAAATTGTTCTTCTACCCCTTTAAACTCAGAATAGCACATAAAGCCACAGTCAGACATCATCAATGTCTACCCGCATGCTTCTTTCAACAGCATGTGTGTGTGTGTGTGTGTGTGTTGTATCCTGCGTTCAAAGCCTTGCTGCTTTCAGGGAATGGTCTTAGGTCTAGCTGCCACATCTTAGGCACATGTACATTGTTCTGAGTCAGAGGCATGAGTGGTTTATGAAGAAAAATTAGGGAACACGATACATTCAAGCTAAGCATTCAGACAAGCTTATAGAAGTTAACTACGTTGGGAGTCCAAGGCATAGTACGATTGATCCCATTGTTTTTCTTGAAGGTCAGTTCATTCTAAGCAGGCAGAATATACAGCTCTTACACAGGGTGAGAACATAGCATAACTGATCTCCAGTCACATTATGAGCTTGTTACAGATGGGATGAACGTTTGATTTGTAAGGGCAAACTACAAGCAGGAATCCTAGAAAAACTATTCCTAAAGCCCTAAGCCCTTTGTTTTATTAATTAAGGGGCATGTCAATCAAAGAGGCCATTGATAGTTGGTTGGTAATATTGGAATATGTTGGAGGACTGGCCTGAACTGGCATTACTATAGTTTTAGTGATTCTTGGCAAAGGTGGAATGCCTTTTAAATTTCGGAGAGAGTCCCTCTTCTGTTGTCAGATTATGGTCTTCTGGTGCCAGCCTATGGCGTGGCTTTTCTCAGTCATGCTGAGGCCCAGAGAAGGTCTGTAGGAAGAAAGCAAAGACATGGCGCCTTAGCCCCAGTGAATGACTGGAATGGGACGAAGATCCCTGATGAACTCTGGAGGGAGTTTACATAAAACCGTGGAGGGTTTTTGTTGTTGTTGTTTTATTTGGTTTTTAAAAACTTTTTGCTTCTTAATAATATTTACCCACACCTGTTAGGGAGGGGAGTTGAGAAATAAAGAAATTCTTTATTCCCACTTTTCATTTATATATTTGAGTTTTGAATGATAAATGGGATCATTTAATTATGGCTTGTCTTTGACAGTTATATGGACTGCCATGACAGACATAAATGACCCAAGTTGGCAAAATGAGATAAAAGTTTTTCATGAACCAGTAGGGTGTTAATTGTGTTAATTGTTCTGGGGACCCCCATTACAGAGAAGGCAGGTAATAGGTAACTAGAAATAGTTCTACCATATTGGTGGATTTGTGCAGTAACAAAGATAAAGGCTTAAAAAGTGTCAATGTAAACATGAACTCATTTGTAAGAACCAAAGAAACACACACAAGCTACATTTGTTTGCCAGAGAGCATTAGGATAAAGACCATGGAAGTTAAGTCCTTTTGGGATGGTGGGGCCCAGTGACGGACAGTTGGTACATGACTGGATGATTGGCTGAAACTGTGTCTGTGATTACTGAAATTATGTTTGTAAAGCTTCAGCCTCTTAGTGAAACAAGGAACGGAAAGCAGCAGCTTGTTCAAGAAAAGGCACAAACAGGCGATGGCATGATGGCTTTCTTCTGTGGTGGGCCGGTTACTCCTGTGTGGATTGAATAAGAGTATATTGAATTTGTCTAGAGGGTCGTTTCAGATAGTGATGACAAGAAAGAGTCTTGAAATAAACATGGGATGGTTTGAGCCACACAAAGAGAAATAGTCAAGAGACTGGAAGGTTGATCATGGAGATGTCAGGCAGCAGAATGGGCAGCACAGGGTTTTGCTGGCTGGGTGTTGGTTCCTATAGGGTTTACAGGAGAGTGCCACAGTCCAACATCATGGTGCTATGCAATGGCCCCTTTTGTCTAACGTGTTGGCTCCATCTGAGAAAATGGTCAGTGCTCATATGAGAAATGGGATGTGTATTTATGGGAAAAAATGTCTGTGTGGGAAGAGATGCGATTGCACATGTAGTCTTTATGGGAAAGAAGCAAAGAGAAATTTGTCCCCCAAACCCCGTAAATGTTATTTCCCCTTCTTCTGAGGTCTGAAATAAATAAAGGAAGGAAGGAAGGAAGGAAGGAAGGAAGGAAGGAAGGAAGGAAGGAAGGAAGAAATTGAGTGTGTCTTAGGATTTGGAAGAATGGATTGTTTTGGTTCAGCCCTGTTGAATAAAGGTTATTCTTTCTTGGTTTGGGGCAAAAGGTTTTGTTTAAGGAAAGAAATAGCCATCCTAAAATGACAGATGAGGGATGGTTAATCGTCCGATGGCTGCTGTAAGGGAAAGAGGCATGGTGAAAGAAAAATAGAGACATAAATCTCATCGTCAAGAAAGTGGGTTGTTGTCCCAAGGCGTAGGCTAACAGCTATAACCGCTGCACGATAGGAGAAGTTGCCATCTGAGGTGAGTTTAAGACAGTCCTTTTTGTTTTCTCACTAAACGGTGAGACGGAGCAACATTGGGAGTTTCCATGGAAGGTCAAAGTTAATTGATAGTGCTTTAAAGCTGTTGAAGTTATCTTGGGAGGCGGGGGGGGGCACTAATTGATGAGGTTTAATGAAAGAATTAGTAACAATATATCCAAGATTGCTGCATGGAACAGTGAGTTGGATTTTGCCTGGGGTGAGCTGTAAATGGAAGTTTTATCATGAAGCTTGTAAATCTTTTAAAACAATTAGATTTATATCTTTAGTGGAAGAGGCTAGTAAGGCATCCTCCATAAAATGAAATTTATATAAGTCTTAGGACATTTGTGTTAAGTAGGGAGTATTGCCTTATTTTCTCACCATTGGCAGAGGTAAGGGTATTGATCATATTGAAGCAGAACTTTCCAATGAAACTGAGACATCGGTGATAGACAATTGAGAGTGGGCATTGAAAGGCATTTTTCCCCTATATCACCAATGTGTAAAGGAAAAACAAACAAACCTTTAAATCAATAACAACATGGTTGTTTTGAGGGACCACAGCAGGAGAGGGAGTTTGTGGGAGTAGTCAACCATAGGGCTATTGCCAGAATTTGATTCATATCTGGGACATCATTTTAAGCACTTGTGGGGTTAGACTGTTTTATTTATTAATCAATGTACTGGTAAGTTGCTGAGCCACAATCTCTAAGTCTTCATTTTAAAGGTTATCTTTTTTTTAAAAAGGTGATTAAACAGACTTCTAAAAGCTTTTAAATTTGTATCAGCAAAGAAACATCATGCTCACATCTTATATCCAAGGTTGTGTGGAGCATGACTGTTTTCAAGTAAAGGCAAATCTTTAGCTCTGGGTAGACTAGCAGGGCAAGGTAGGGTCAAACAGGATGGAGAATTGGGACCAGGAAGTGTATGTGTGTTGCGGGTAATATTTAGAAGACGGCGCCCAGTCCGGCTCATTTTTGGGCAGCTGCCATGTTCCTGCTGCTCCTCGGCTCTAATCTGGGCTCCAGATAGCTAGATGCGCAGGCCCTGGCACCCATGAGATGCCAGCATGGTGGCTGGCTCTGTCAATCCACCATGTTGTCCGAGATGCTCCACTGAGCCCAGACCATTGCCGCTATACCCACAGTACCGGTAGAACAAAGACTATTAATGCTTAGAGATTATCCAATAGAATTATATATTTGGAAATGCTCAATTAACAAGATGCCCTCACAATTAGAATTGTTGCCCAATTATCTAACCTAGATATTATGACTACCTTAGACTGCTAGAGACACACGTACATCCACAACCATCTTCTCTCCTCCTCCTCCTCCTCCTCCTCCTCCTCCTCCTCCTCCTCCTCCTCCTCCTCCTCTTCCTCCTCCTTCTCTCTCCTTCCCTTCCTCACTCCGCCTACTTTTCATACTGGCCAATGACCGAGCATTATTGCGGGGAAACTATCCCACTACATATGTGGTTCAATAAGAAGTGGGATTTTGCTTTCATTTTTTGTAAGTTTCCCCTTTTGTCCGATAAGGCTGTGTAGCTAGTCTAATTTGGTTTTAAAGAGTGAAATGTTTTTTCCCCATGTTTCAGAATCAAGGGTCCCATGGTCAGGACACCAGGGACAATACTTTTGACCAGTCTTTAAAAGCTCATAAATTGGCTTTAATGTTGACTTAGCTCCAGTTCCTATAAGCAGTCATTAAGTGCCGTGCGTAAGTGCAAATTCAGGAGACAAGAATTTCCCATGGTGAAAACAAAGGCCAAAGACAACCCGGGGATTCGCCTTTTCATTTTCCTTCACTCCATTTAGTCCCCAGGCTTGAATGACAACTTATTTATGTTCAAAATTCTTGAGTCGATTTCTTTCAGGCAGAAAAATGAAATGAATCACTGAGGATAATAAAGGTTGATAAAGTATTGGTCTGAAAAGCAGACAGTGTCCTGGGTCTCATGGTCCTATCCTCTAATAATCGTTTTCACGTCTAAATCCCTCATTTTTTAAAAAAAATCTCTTCTTAAGGTGGTTTTGGCCAGTTCGAAGCAAATTGATAAATCGTTTTTGTACAAGTTCCTGCAGCCATGGCTGGGACTAGGACTTCTTACAAGGTGAGTGGATGAACAAAGGAAAGAAAAAGAAAGGGATGTGGCTGCTCCTAGGTATGGTGGGCGAGAAAGTTTATTGTAGCATAGTGAGAGGCAGAGACATCTGGGAGAATCCTGAGCTGACACGCCCCTGAGCCATGTGAGGAGAGGGGGACCAGGTGCAGGAACCAAAGGGGCAAAGGTACAAAGAAGGGCAGGTAGACCCTGGGCTGGGGACAGAAGGATGCTGGGAAGTCCTGGAGGTCAGGTCTACTTTGATATATTAGATAGACAACTCAGCTATTTGTTCCAGGGTTTAAGAGTTGACAGTAAGAGAATGTCTGATTGTTTGAAAGACAGCCTTCAAGTGTCTGGTAACCTCTAGCCATGGTAATAGACAGTTCCTAGCCAGGCATGCTTACAACCAGAAGTTACAAGTTAATAAGTGTGGAAAGCACCCCAAGAATTAGGAGGAAGGTCTGCAGATGCATGAACATATGTGGTACAGGGGAGCCTTGAGAAGCTAGCAGCACAGCCAGGCAACCCCAGATAAGTACATAAGTCAGCCTTGATCTGGCACCTGGAAATAAGTTTCTTTCCCCAAGAGAGGACTCATCCTGGAAAAGGCACTTAGTATAGTCTATTTTGCAAGGTTCCAACCATAGAAATTAAGGTCGAGTCATGGAGCAGGTGGGTACCTGAAGAATAAAGCTTAGGGGAGTAACTGATTTTTCAGAAATTCCTCTTTGAAATGGGCAAAATTGTCTCAACATTTTATATTTTATGAAAATAATTTTAGCTATTAACATCATAGAACAAGGTCCAAATATCTACACCGGGGGCGGGCATAGGTGAGAAGCTCACATACGTCTATTTTTCTTGTTCGAGTGAGATCATTGAGATGCTGTGAGTTGTATTGACTGGTCTGGGTTCATGGCTGCCACACCATGGATTTATTCCTCTTTGATCGATAATGCCGTACTGTGCTTGCAGTACTGGGAGCAAACGCAGCTCCAGGAGGTGGACTGATACTCATGTGCTGTGCTTGCAGTACCGGCAGCAAATGGCGCACCAGGAGGAAGATGCTAACGCCCACTTTCCATTTTACGATTCTGGAGGACTTCTTGGATGTCATGAACGAGCAAGCAAATATATTGGTTAATAAGCTTGAAAACCACGTCAACCAAGAAGCCTTTAACTGCTTCTTTCACGTCACTCTTTGTGCTCTGGATATAATCTGTGGTGAGTAAGATCAGTCTAGGCCATGGATGTTAAATGGCTAAATAGAAATCAAGATTCCATGGGTAGGACAAAAGAGACGACTGACTAGAAAAGACCCAGGATCCCTCAGGGTGGTGTTACTGATATGAACCTCCCCAAGAAACAGCAGCCATTCCTAAGGGGTGACCGGAGCAAACCACCTTGTCCCCTTGCCTGAAAGGTCCAAGGGGAAAGGATGACAGGAACCAGAAGTAGGAGATGAAGAAGGGAAGAGAAGAGCAAACGAAAGAGAACAGAACAGGATTTGATGTCTCAGTCTCCCTTGCCACCCAGCAGACACAAGCTGACTGAGTAGTCAACTGGTGCTTCTCATCTGTGTTTCGCAGAAACGGCTATGGGGAAGAACATTGGAGCTCAAAGTAATGATGATTCTGAGTATGTCCGTACAGTGTATAGGTGAGTGTGTGTGTGTGTGTGTCCATACAGTGCATAGATAAGTACGTGTGGAGGGGGAAGGTCTTCTCATTTTCCTTAAAATTGTTGCTGATCTGAGCTTGAAAACCATTGCTAATCACATCTCTCCATGTGGCATTTTCATAGTGTTTGAAGTGAATTTTAAAACAAAAACCTCAGCTGATAACAGTAGTGTCAACTTTCGAAACAGGGAATTTGTTATAAATGTAAGTTATGGTATATCTGAGTGCTACAGAAATTTAAAATCTCCAACTGCATCTTGATACCAAATGACCAAAGATGTTAATAGCACAGCAACTATTACTATATATAACTTATTTGTAAGAAGAACACTCTAGAACACTCTGCGGGATGCCACACCTTTGGGGGTTGAACAATCTTTTCACAGGGGTCACCAAAGACTGCTGGAAAACACAGGTATTTACATTACCATCCTTAACAGTAGAAAATTACAGTTATGAAGTAGCAACAAAATAATTTTATAGTTGGGGGTCATCACAACATAAAGAACTGTATTTAAAGGTCACAGCATTAGGAAGGATGAGAATCACTTCTCTAGAGGATCTATATCATAGTGCTAACAGTGGTTATCACTGTTTAGTGTGTGTTTTTCTTTTCTACTGGGAAATTTTTGATACCATTTATTTTCTTTCTTCTCTTCCACATTGAATGGGTGCTGATTTTTGCAATCAAGGCAGCTTTTTTTTTTAACCTTAAAAGTGGTTGGAATTATCTATTATGAGGTGGGAATGGACCTTGAGAGCTTGTTTGGAGGTTCTAGCAGAGGAACGAAGCTACTTGTATACTGTTGACCAAAGACCAGTCCTCTTCTATTCGGGGCAGGTCATCCTCTTCAACCGAGCATGCAGATTAGCCCAAAAGCTCGCAATATCTAAGATACAACTCACAGACCACATGAAACTCATGAACAAGGAGGACCAAAGTGTGGGTGCTTTGGCCCTTCTTAGAAGGGACAACAAAATACTCATGGGAGCAAATATGGAGACAAAGTGTGGGACAGAAACTGAAGGAGGGGGCATCCAGTAACTGTTCCACCTGGGTATCCATCCCTTGTGCAGTCACCAATGACAGACACTGATATGGATGCCAGGAAGTGCATGCTGACAGAAGCCTGATATAGCTGTCTCCTTAGAGGTCTGCCAGAGTCTGAAATATACAGAGGCGAGTGCTCATAGTTAATCATTGAGCTGATCATGGGGTTCCCAATGGAGGAATGAGAGAGAAGACTGAAGGAGCTGGAAGAGTTTGTGGCCCCATGGGGAGAGCAACAATACCAACCAACCAGAGCTCCCAGGGTCTAAACCACCAGCCTGGGAGCACATAGGGAGGGACCCATGGCTTCAGCTGTATATATAGGGGAGGATGACATTGTCAGGCATAGGTGGGTGAGGAAGTCCTTGGTCCAGTGAAGGCTGGATGCCCCAATGTGGGAGAAATCATGGGTGGGGAGGTGGGAGTGGGAGGGTGGGTGGGGCACATCCTCATAGAAGAAGGAGGAGTGAGGGTGAGATAGGGGGTTCCTGGGTGGGTGGGAAATGGGGAAAGGGGATTACATCTGAAATACAAACAAAATATCCAATTTTAAAAATTTTTTAAAAAGTAAATCTCCAAAATGGAGAAAGAGATAAAATTGATATAAATGTTTTCAAGGATACATAGATATTAAATAAATAAGCTCATGACTTGAATCCAATTCTGGGGAAACAAAGACAGAGATGGATAGGTTCCTTGTGAGTTCAAGGCCAATCTGATCTACAGAACAAATCCAGGACAGCCTGGGCTACACAGAGAAACCTTTTTTCAATAAATAATTATAATAAATATATTTCATTTTAGAGAAAAAAAGAGGTGGGAATGGGACTTGATTTGATTTGATTTACACTATATTAATTCATTGTTCAGCTAATTTCAACTATTAATTGAACAGCTACAATCAAGCAGCCACCACACAGTTACCAGGTAGCTTTAAACTGACACAGATAGCAGAATAGCACGGGAGATTGAACCAAGAAATAGAAACCTAGGAACTGTAACAATTGTTGACAAAGAAAATATCTAGTTGTTACTAATTTCTAGTTGCCCGGGAAAGGCCCCTTTAAAGAGCTGTCACTGAGGCTGTTCTAAAGAAGGCTGAGAAGTGGGCTGTCTGCCCTGTCACTCAAAATGAGAGGAAAGTGCTGGGAACAGAGTCATGGCAGGTTGCTATTTAATATGTGATTTCTTGTCAAAGACCACTTCTTTTTCTACACCATTTTAAATTATTATGTGTGTGCATGTGCATGCATCCTGGTGCCCATGTGAAAATAGAGAACAACTTGTTACGGTTGGTTCTTCCCTTCTGTCACGTGAGTCCCAAGGTTAGAACTCAGGTGATCAGGCCAGGTAGCAGGTCCTTTACCTGCTGAGCCATCTCACTGACTTCAAAAGAGTGGCTGGGTGAGAGTAGAGAGCTTAAAGAAAGGCAGATTTCAACTAAACCTCTGGTACAAATGCACTAACATTCCTGGGAAGTTGTGAACTCACACTGTAGAAACAAAAGTACTGACCAGAGCCCATCTGGATGGTTCATAGCCGATTTCTATAATTTCTCTACTACATCTATTATTTGTTTCAGTGCCATGGTATGTGTAGTTGTCTCTTATTCCACCATGTGGCATCAAACGTGGATCTCTATAAGCACTGAAGATTAAACAACAATGTTTCATTTATTACCTTTATCAAGGCCAGGCACCAAAGGTCAGGAGATAATGTTCTGATATAAAAAGTGATGTCATCCCATTTATAGGATGAGTGATATGATATATAGAAGAATAAAGATGCCTTGGCTTTGGCTTGACCTTTGGTACCTCATGTTTAAAGAAGGATGGGAACACAAAAGGGGACTCAAGACCCTACACACTTTCACCAACAATGTAAGTTGTGTCAGTGTTGTGTGTGTGTGAGTTACGTTGGATAGAAATATAAAATATAACAATCAATATTACATTTAAATGACATATTCAAATAGCATTAATGAAATATTTGCTGACCGTCAAGTGTTATACCCAGTGTTGGAAATAGAGAAATGAATTAAACAAGAATGTTTCCTACCGTCTCAGAGAGTCGTCTAGGGGAGTTGGTCATCTATAACAACAATTAAAGAACAACTAAGGATTGAATGCTTATTAACCAACAGGGTTCTGGATGAGAGAGGGAAGGGATGGAGATCCATGCACAAGTCTCTTGGAAAACGTTTTGGGAAGGCAGTAGCTCTCAGATGAAAGAACATCTAACTCAGTGCAGAGTAGAATCCAGTGAAAATTATTTTGATAGTACTATTTTCTTTCCAAACTGAAAAATAAAGAGGAGATAAGGGTTTTGTGTTTAAGCAAAGAAGATTCATTTTTGGATTGAAGACATATTTATCAAAGAGTAAAGTTTAATTGAAACTATACATTAAAATACAATTCAAATGTGTTGAATGTTCCTGTTTGAATATCTCCTTTCTTTCCCGTAATTATTGCTTGAAGTATATTGGGATTTCTTCTTTGTGATAAGGAAAAGCCACCAATGGATCACGTGGATGTTAAGTGAATGAGATAATGCTTAGAGTTGCCCACAGAACAAGCTTCAGGTAGCAGGAGAAGCAGGTCACATTTTATAATTACATTTCCCCCCAAAATGTCATGCATCAACATCAGTAACAATAAGTAATGAATTCTGAACTACATAGGAAATATCATTCATTTTGCAAATATTGAAAAACACATATTGAGATATAAACACTTTCGGATGTATCATTCTAGATACATCTGTACATTCTGTAGTGAACATTCTAGAATGCTTGCCAGTGTTCTTGATCTGGGGAGAAAATCAATACACAAAGGCAGGCTCTCCTAAGTGGATTGATGGCTTTGAGATTGTAGGGCAACATACAATGGCTGTCATGTAATAAGCACAATGGGGGCTTATGAAGGAAAGTCAGGTGCTTGCAGAGTGTTAGGGACAAGAGCATACATGAGCAAAAATGACCTTTGGTGTGGCTATCACCTGAGACCTGAAAGTGGCGGGGGATCCAGTCACAGGAGCACTCAAGGGCAGAGCATACTGGGCTCACTGAAGAGCAAGCATGCAGGGTGACTGAGCATCAGCTGTGGGGTCATTAGCTTGCTATTGCCTTTCTCCATAACTTGGTGTAACCATCCTAGAATCAATGTCATCTGTAGCTGGGTTCTCCCTCCCGTCTGCACTGTTCCTCATTACTTCTCCTAGGGTTGTTTACCAGACAGCAATTCTATCACCCTGTTAGAAAGACTGCAAAAAAATAGTATTTAAAAACTCTGAGTTTGACTGTCATTCCACTTGTAGTTAAGAGTTTCACCGCATGACATCCTCAGTGTTAACCAGAGGCTTTGGTGCTGTTTCACAAGAGCCTAAGTTGTCCTTGAAATAAAGAACTGGGAAAGTACTGGGGGGGGATTAAAGAAGACCGCATGTTTTCACAGGAAAATGAACCATTGTCTCACCAAAAGTGCAAGTTTTGATTCAACATTATTGAAATCCTACAGGTCATTGCTGAACGGGTCAATGAAAAGAAGGCAGAGGAAGAACGGATGGGTGCTGGCAGGGGTCCTATCCCCTCCAAAAATAAACGCAAGGCTTTCCTTGACTTGCTTTTGAGTGCGACTGATGAGGAAGGAAACAAATTAAGCCACGAAGATATCCGAGAGGAAGTTGACACCTTCATGTTTGAGGTAACTTTCATTGTCAGGTAATTTTCCTTGTTGGGTTTCACAATTCAGGATGTTCCATGGCTGCAACACCTGCTTAATGTACAAGAACTAGGTTCCGTTCCCAGCACCACAGCAGCAAGCAAGCAACGGAGGCAGGGTGCTGGGAAGACAGCTTAGCAATTAAGATCACTGGCTGCTCTTCTAAAGGACCTGGGTTCAAGTCCCAGTACCCACCTGGCAGCTCCCACCTGTCTGGAACTCTACTTCCAGGGATATGGTACTCTCATACAGACACACATTCATGCAAAACACAAATACACATAAAATCAATCTTATCAAAAAAACAAAAAAGCCTCCACAGAAATGAGACCATCAAGACAGCTCAGGAAATGAAGTGTTTGCTACCAAGCTTGACCACCAGAGTTGAGTCACTGCAACCAACATGGTGGAATTAACTCCAACAAGTCATTCTTTGACCTCCATGCATGTGCCATCACACACACACACACACACACACACACACACACACACACACACACACGCATGCACATGCATGTACTCTAGCTTAGCACACACATGAATACATGTAATTTAAAATATTTCCAATTTCAATGACCCTTTGAGTTACTGGCATGCGTTAAAAAAATCAGTATTAGTATAATTGGAAAATTTTAATATCATCATCAGAAATTATAAAACTTAAGAACAGGATGATGACCAATACATAATTTTTTTTTATTAAGAAAATTTAAGGATCTCCAGACTTTTCCTAAGAAGACACAAAGTCTCACGTTGTCCTCAGTTCCCTATCTTGCCTTATGTTCTTTCTTAACCTCCCAAACAGGCCCATTTGTCTCCTTTTCAAGTCTGGCCCTGAGCTACCGCTATGAGGTTGCTTTAGACAAAGTGAATCTTACCAGTTTGCAATTCTAATGGAATTATGTTTTAGCATTTTAATATTTCTTAAAAACACTTCTTGCAAATATACTGCAACTATTATAAGAATATCACAGAGAGTGAAGCTTTCTACATGCAGATTATGAAATTAAGGTTTCAGAAAGTCCTATGATGTAGCAATAGCTTGCACGTGGAAGTTAAGAAAATGTACACGGGCTTCCAGAGGGCCTTTGAATGCTGTGTCTTGCGTTGCATTGGCTGCTCTGCCTCCTGCTATCTGGATGCAGGATCCATGCTCCTGATTTCATTTCAAATTCTTAATTCATTTCTAACTGGTAAATACCTATCGTTTATGGTTTTGTAGTCCAGTGTGACACACTTTGATACACGTACTCATTAGGGAATGTGCACATCGTGTTCATTAACCTGTCTACCCAATTCTGGAGTGAGAACATTCAAAGGATTTGAATTTTTAAATATTTGAGCTCTCTTTCTGCATGTACACTTGCATACCAGAAGAGGGCTTCAGGTCCCTTTATAGATGGTCATGAATCACCATGTGGTTGCTGGGAATTGAACCCAGAACCTTTGGAAGAGCAGCCAGTGCTCTTAACTGCTGAGCCATCTCTCCAGGCCCAAACTTTACTCTTTAGGAGTATGTAATACATTGTAATTAATCGTGGCCACAAACCTGTGCTATAGGTCATGAGGATTCATTGCTTACATGTGAGATTTGTGTTTGTTGAGCATCTCTCCTTCCCATCCTCCCCCCCAGCCACCAGCCATCCTCTGACAACTGTCTTTCTACTGGGTATGCCTGTGAGTTAAACTATATTTAGTGTCCACATGCTGATGAGACCATTACGAATTATTTTTCTTTCTGTCCTGGCTTATTTTACTTTCCATAATGCTTCCTAAGTTTTATCCATATTATCACAAATAATAGGATACCCTAATTTTAAAAAGAATGTACATGATTTTATTATACATACAATTTTAAAATCCTATTACCAGTTGATAAGCGTCCCTGCTATTCATTGTCAGTGGATTTCTTAACAAGATCCCAATAACTTATTTTGGAGACTAGAAAAACCAAGCCTAAAATTCATATGTAACCATAAAAGGCACTGAAAAGTCAAAACAGTCTTGGGCATAAAAAAAAAAAAAAGAATAAAGAAGTCATTTGGTTACTTTAAAAATACACTTAAAAGCTATAGTAACTGAAACAACATGGTTAGGGCATAAAAACATATATAGAGACTAATGGGTGGGTTAGAGATCCAGAAAGTAATTCTACATTTATAATCAGTCAGTATTTGACAGAGATGCTGAGAATGCACAGTGGGAAGAACCTACATTCGACAATGTCTGGGAAATTAGATAACCACGTGCAGAAGGATAGAAACTGAGCCCCGTGCCACCCTCTACACAGGAATGAACTCAAAACGGATCAAAGATGTAACTGTAAGACATGAAACTGTAAAACTCTTAAGGAAAACTATGGGGAGAACTATCTAATGACTGGTCCAGGAACTAATTTCCAGATGGTGACCCCTAAAAACATAGACAATAAAGGCAGCAATATGCAAATGGGTTTGCCTCATCCATTGTTCTCTAGGGAGGAGTTCTACCATGTCAGAGTGCACAGTGGTATGAAGGGTCTGAAGACCTGCATTCTTATTCTGGATCTGTGCCAGTAAAATGCCTCCAACCATTCCAGCTCTAACTGGCTTCTCTGTGTGGTAAACAGAGACCTAGATGAATTAATGGTTTTAAAACTTTCCTTTTGGGCCAGGGCCAGGGAATCTCATGGTAGACTACTTACCTAGCATGTGTGAAGCTATGGGTTCAATTTCCAAAAAAAAACACAAAAAAAAACAAAAAACAACTGCTGGCTGATCATCTTTATCTGATAGGTAGCTGAGAGGGTAAAATCCAAGTTGGGAGAGGCCCGTCTTAGCGACACTCCAGCAAGGCTCCACATCCTAAATGCCCTATGACCTCTAGAAGCAGTGCAACCAACCCAGAAGCAAGTGTTCAAATACTTGAGCTGATCAGGGATACTTCTTGTTCAAACCACCAGCATTCAGCTCCTTTGTCCAACAGAGTCATGGCCGTCTCATGAGGCAAAATGCATTTATTCCAACTTCAAAATCCTATAGCCTTTAGCAGTCTTACTGTTCAAAAGTCTGAAGTCTCTTCTATGACTCATGACAGCCTCTTAACTGTGATTCATGTGAACTCAGGACACTAATTACATATTTCCTAGAATAGCATAAAAATGTACACTCTTTTCCAAAATAGAGGAATGTGTACATAGTCATGAAACACTGGACCAAAGCAAGACCAAAGAACAGCAGGCCAAATACCAAATCCTATGTTGGGTTTTAGCTTCAAAGCACTTGGACTTCTGTTGTGGAACCACAATCAAAACAAACTCTTTTTTCCCAGTTTCTTTTGATCATGGTATTTTATCATAGCAACAAAAGGCAACTCATACATGACTTTCTAAAATGACATCTTAAGGGGGAAAATAGACATCTTAGTCAAAAGGCAGAGAAATGTTAAGTGTGTGGGTTCTGGCGCCAAATTACAGTTCCAATGCACTGGAAGTGTGGCCTCAAGCACTTGACCTAGCTTTTCTGGGCCACTGGACTTTAGTATTTGTTTTTCCTCTCAGTCACAGGGATTGAGCTAAGGGCCCTGGGCATAAAAGATGAGTGCTCTCCACTCGGTGATAGGCCCAGTTGTCAGTGTTCTGTTGCTCAGAAGAGACACCAAGACCATAACAACTCTTGTAAATGAAAGCATTTAACTAGGGCTGGTCACAGTTTCAGAGGTTTAGTCCATTGTCATCATGATAGGAAAAATCACAGCACACAGATAGACATGGCGCTGGAGAAGTAGTTGAGGGTTCTAGATTCAGATCTGAAGCAGGAAGAACAGAGATTTGGCTTGGCTTGGGCTTTTGAAACTCCAAAGCCCACTCTCAATGACATACTTCCTCCAACAAGGCCAAACCTCCTAATCTCTTTCAAGTAGTGTCACACTCCAGTGACCAAACATTGAAATATATGAGCCTATGGGGGCCATTCTTATTTTAAAAAAATGACTCTCTATTCATTTTTTATTAGCGTATGTTTCATGGAGTAGCAATGAAGATTAAATTATTAAAAGTACACAACAATCATAGAAGTCATATAAGAACCATGCAGCAAATACATAATTAGCATCTCACACCATCTCTACTTTGCCCATGTTCTTACACAGCAACATATACACCTATGTATCCATATACACAATACATATGAACATATGTATATTTGCAAGCCTACATATACATCTAGATCTCACCAATAACCATCCTTTCCCTCTTGTAAAAACAGCCAGGCTAATCTCATGCCTGCAGCTCTAACATGTTTCGAAGTCTTAATATTGTTGCGTGTAATTTTTTAAAAACACACTTCTGCCCTCTCTCAAGCTCTGCTCGAGCTAGGCTAGGCTCCAAGATCAGCCTCGGCTGGTCTCACTCAGCTCCGCCAATGGTCCCTCACAGCTAGCTTTGCCAAGCCACCAGTTGGTTCCTCTCCCGAGAACGCCAGGAGCTGCTGTTTGCGCTCCACTGGATAACTACCCTGGCTGACCCCTTTCTCCTGCTGCCCACCTTAGCGCTCCAGATGGAAAGCACTAGACAGTTTTATTACTTTAAAACTAGTCAGATAACTCAATGGCTGGGTGGAGAATTTCCTGCCCTAATCCTATCAACTAGCTCCCTCCATCTTCTTTGGCCCCGCTTGCTGCAGAGGCTACAATCTCTAGGGGCCCCACGATCTACAAGTCCACAGGGTCCTTCTCGCTCCAAAGCCTGGTCTGACAATCTCTCTGCCTCCCTTCTCTTCCTCTTGGGACCCGAAAGTCCCACCTCTTTCCCTTCGCCCAGCAATTGGCTTCCGCTTCCTTTATTGACACAATCAAGAACCAATTAGGGAATCGACACCTCCCTCTACATGATATTGTTCACGTTGTATTGAGTAGAAGCCTACCATGTTCATTTATAATACTGCGCTACCCTCCATGCTCTGGATGCAGGCTGTTAACTCCAGGCTTTCATGCCTCAGGTGCCGGTCCTTAAATGATTCAGCCATTGTGGTGCTTGCTTCTGTAAAGTCCTTGGCATGTTTGACTTCCCTCATAGGAAGCTCAGGAGACATCTTTTCCCATATGCTTGAATGGGGGTTATACCTTTATATTTAAGAGAAGCCACTGAGTTATTAGGAGTGCTTCCTTACCTGAATTAGCAGGCAGCCAAGCAATAGCACTTGGATCTTAGATGTCCTCCAGAGTTGCTTAGTAAAGGCTTGCAGGTGTATGGAAATAGCCCAGTGAGAGGAGAGGAGGAAAGAGATGAAGGCCTGAAATATGGAGCTGGTGGAACATCTGACTGTCCCAATGGCAACTTGACTCCTCACAGGCTGTACCAGAGTCTCACAACAGAATGGTACAGCCTCTGATTCGTCATCAGGCCTAGTGGTCACTTCCTGCTTTCACTTCCTTGGGAAGTTATTTATTTATTTTTTTTCAATCTCTAAACTATGAATGCTAGCAGTGGATATTTCCTAGAATTATGGAGATTAATTTCTACAAAATGCTAAGCATTTTGCCCGAAACTAGCCAAGTATTAAATTGGCCGATAGCCAAAATTTTCCATGGGAGAACATGCTCAGAAGCCCACAAATAACCCTTGGTGGTCTGCACCGGCTGAGGAGGCCTGCCAAAGCAAGGACTCAAGGCAGAACCCTGAAGCAGAAACCATAAGGAGTGCTTCTCAGCAGCTTGCTTCCACTGACGTTTGACTACATTTCTTGTATAGCCCAGCCCCACTTGGCTAGGGATGGTGCAGCATACAATGGGCTGGGGCCCTCCCTCATCAATCATTCATCAAGGAGAAGGCCCCACATGTGTTTTCAGACCAATCTGATGAATGCAATTCCTCAGTCTCTCTCTTCCCCGTGTGTGTAGAGTTGACAATAAAACCTAACCAGTACAACAATCCTCCTGTTTCGGCCTCCTCCCAAGTGTTGGGATTACAGAAGTGTGCCACTTCTGCCCAGCTAAGAAACTGTTGGATCTCTCTCAATGAGGTGAGCAGCTGCAGTGATTTAGGTTTGTCAGTCACACTGCAGCTGTGAGGAGAAGACTGCGTTCAATTTCTTCCTCACTCATACCTCAATGGGACTGTGATTCTAAACGCCTCCTTTTTATATTTACAGGGCCATGATACAACTGCTGCTGCAATAAACTGGTCCTTATACTTACTGGGTTCTAATCCAGAAGTCCAGAGGAAAGTGGACAAGGAGCTGGATGATGTGTTTGGTATGTTGGGCCCCTTTGTTAGCTCTGTAGGGGACCACAAAAGCAATGGTCATTCTTGATCCCTAGGGACGCCACTGCCAAACACAGAAAAGCAGTGGTGTTGGACTCCTGCCTTTACCTGTCTCTTTGACAAGGCCTAGTGAATTCCCTAGCAGACATTTGACAAATGTCCTGACAGGTCCTGGAGTAGAAGCTAAGGACACACAGATCAGTGAGACCATTCACAATGGCGCTGATGCTGAGTAGGTGACCCAGACACATGTACCTACAGCATAGTGTCTTGGTCTGTGCCTTGAGCCATGTCAAGAAGATGCTGTGTGGGCAGGTGGAGCTGGTTATGAGGGTAAAGGGAGGGTTCTTCGTGTGACTGCATCTGACACAGAGAGTGATGCAGCAGGGGGATTTGCACAATAAGCACTATCATCTCTAAAGTATTTTTAGTACCTTGAAGGAAACCTGTAATGCTAATCACTCATTCATCTCTCTTCTCCTTACCCCTACCCCCCACTGGCAGTCATCATTTGACTTCCTGTCTGAATAAATGACCTTTGTTTTTGGAATGTGACTTTATGAACATAGTAAAACTGGAGATGGCCTTGGCTTCTCTGGTTTCTCTGACTTGGCACAGTGCTTCGTTTTATTTGGTTGTTCATGATATTAGAAATTCTGCTTTGTTTGTGGACGTTTGACACTCTGTGTTGTGGTTCTGTATTGCCCTGATGTCTCACCTTACTAAGGCTATAGAGTGTGTTTGTTTTGTCCATTTTATACATTTACTGTAACCAGGAAGATCCCAGCGCCCTGTCACCTTGGAAGACCTGAAGAAACTTAAATATCTGGATTGTGTCATTAAGGAGACTCTCCGTGTTTTCCCGTCTGTCCCTTTATTTGGCCGGAGCCTTAGTGAAGACTGTGAAGTGGGTGAGTAGTCTTAATGGTGGCATGGGGGCGGGGCAGAAGTTATATTTCTGATGCCTGTCTGGCTCCAGTGTCCTGACACACTGCTTACTTTGACAGCCGGTTACAGAATTGCAAAGGGAACGGAAGCGATCATCATTCCCTATGCACTACATCGAGACCCCAGATACTTCCCAGATCCTGAGGAATTCCGGCCAGAGCGGTTCTTTCCTGAAAATTCTCAAGGACGCCACCCCTATGCCTATGTGCCATTTTCGGCTGGACCTAGAAACTGTATTGGTTTGTATCCATGCACGCGGGTTTCACCTTTCAGGCCCATGTGATAATTTCTCACAAGAATCACTGAAGCACTGTGTGATGTTACTCATAGGCAATAGGCTTTGAAAAGGATTCTGCTCTCTTCTGCTTTACACTATGATTCTAATATGTCATTGTTAGGGGCTGGGGAGGCAGCTCAGTTGGTACTATGCAAGTGTACCTAAGTACGTCCCTAGATGGCATTTAAAGCTGGGTATTGTGTGCCTATATAATCACAGTGATGAGGAGGCAGAAACAGTTGATCTCTGTGAGACAGAATACAGAATAGGTGGCTCAAAATGATAGAAACTAAACCTCTCATTGTTCAGCAGGCTATGGTGTCAGTGTGTCTTGGGAGGTTTCTCTCATTCAGTTTAGACATGGTGGCCTTCCTTCTGTGTGTCTTCACTTGGTCTTTCCTCTGGGTGTGCCTGCATGTCAAATATCACTGTCTTGGTTCCTACAGAGACCCACCTTAATGACTTCATTTAACTCATTTAAATTTAACTATGCAATGTTAATTTTTTTAACTTAAAGATCCTATCTCTAAATAGATTCGTAGTATAAAATGTTGGGAGTTGCCTGATGTGGTGGCTTATACTTAAAGAGTCAGAGGCAGGTGGGAATCTCTTTGAGTTCAAGGCCAGCCAGGGCTACACAGTGAGACTCTTTATCAAGCAAACAAATGAAAGATGGAAAGAGTGAGAAGTGTCATCCCTAGGTGTCCTCTGATACCCATCTAATACTGGATTTGGTCCAGGACCTCTTAGAAAGTCCAATCTGAGGATGCAAAATCCTGTGTATAAACTGGGATTTGTTTGCCTGTGAATACATAGTTATATCCTCAAGTATACTTAAATCATCTCCAGATTCCCACCATCCTAATGACAATTAGGATGCTATGTAAATGACAATGACAATATATATGCTATGTAAAATAATTGTTCTGTATTGCTCAGGGCATGAATGATGAGACAAAAGGCTATGTTCAGTAAAGATGTAATTTAAAAAGTATTTTAACCCATGGTCAGTTGAATCCATAGATACAGAGTCTATAGATCGGAATGTCCATGGTGCTGTGAAAGCTGAGATTGTCTGGTTGTTACAGATAATTTGACTCTTGTGGGAGCAAAAAGGACTCCCAGAACTCTTCAGTCTTAGCAGTCTTCCTTCTTGGGGATTTTGTTCTGTGGCCTATGTAGATGTGAAGTGACTGGGGACCGTCCTGTAGCTTCTGTATCTCACGTTTCAGCTGTGTCTACAATTCAAGTAATGCTGTTAACATTTACTTCAAGGTCAAAAGTTTGCTGTCATGGAGGAGAAGACCATTCTTGCCTGTATCCTGAGGCAGTTTTGGGTAGAATCCAACCAGAAGAGAGAAGAGCTCGGGCTGTCTGGAGATTTGATTCTTAGGCCAAATAATGGCATCTGGATCAAGCTGAAGAGGAGGCATGAAGATAATCCCTAACTCCATCCTCAAGCTCTGATGATCCCTAACTCCATCCTCAAGCTGGGACCTTAGCATGATGAAGATCATTCCATAAGAAACATGGCATCTGCAATTTTTAGATTATGAGTTGAAAACTCTGAATCCTCAGACCTAGTGTTTTTTCTTTCTTGTCCCTACTGATCTTGGGACACAATCTATCATTGAGAGTTTTTGTATGTTTGTTACTAACATGGATGACATGTCACACCTGCTCTTTGTCTCAAGGGCACTGTTAGCTACCTGAGTTATCACTGAAATAAACATGTAACAAAAACTATAACAGAGGGACCATCGGCCTGTTCAATTCCATTGGTTAGACTCAAAGGTTATCATTTAAATGAACTCTCAAAATTTAGAAAATAATCTTGTTGACTTGAAAATTCATATATCATGTGAAAATGTTGGGTAATTAATCCCTTCAGGATAATGGGCTTAAGTTCTTATAATGTCATCAGTGCTATCAGTTATGATGTGAATAATTGCCAGGGCACTTTCAGATTTTATAATGAAAAGATTTTATAATGAAAAGCAGGTCCCTTGTCAGATTCCAGTCGCCTTGTTGACTATGCTAGAATCTTCTTTCTGTTCTCAGTGGACACAATCACTTATTATTACATCTTATTATTGGAAGAGATTCCTCTCCACAATGACCAACCTCTCACAGAAGTTTTATTAGTGGTTTTTGAAGTTCAAGTGGCCACTAATGTGTTGGGAGCTAACCCCTAGCAGAAAGCAGCTATCATCTTTGTAGTCATCTCCAGCCATATACCCTGACAAGAGACTTGTTTTCAACAGCCCACAACAGCTGAGCACACTCTGATAAATATCTTTGTTTAGTGCCCCCAGCTACAAGGCACACATGGTATCCATGCTGCAAGGCATGTGGCATAGTGCCTTCAGCTGTGTTCCCCTGCTTGTCCACAGCTGCAAGGCACATGGAAAAGCATATAAATACCCAGGATTTCCTTTCAATAGAGAGAAAGACTTGATCAGACTCTGTCTTGTCTTCATTCTTCGCGTCTTTTGACTCTCCATCCCCACTCTCTCTCTTGCTAGACCCTGACCCGGATACTGGAGCAGCAGAATGGGTCAGAACAGAGTGGCCCCCAAACGTGGGGCAGAACAGGTCAGGACACTAATGCTTATGTGTCATTCTATTAAGAGTAGGGGCATGGAATAGAGGGGACAGCAAATTCCTGCCCAAGTTCTGCCATGGCTAGAAGTAGCTAAAATGTCTCCACTGAGGCTGCTCCACTTCCTTTCTGATAATCTCTCCTACAATATATTTTGTCATTATAGAACTCAGGACCAAGATTGGATGAATTAGAACTCAGGAAGTCTGTCCTCACTGTGCCATGTCTTTCTTGTAATCCCTCTACTCTTAGAAGGAAGAATCTTTTCTTCTATATTTAGTTACACTGTATGATCACACTTGGCTCAGCACGAGACATCTAATTAACTCAGCCTTATGGAACATCCCTGCCAAGCTGGCAATTGAATTCCATTCCTTGCAGTTTAATTTGGTATATAATGCTACTCTTCCTCACGCAATGACTTTTAGAAACTTCTTTTAATAAATTATTTTTGACAGGATGGGTTGTGCGGCTTGTTTTGTTTTTGGTTTCCCATGGCCTAGCAAACAGAAGCAAGAAACAGAAAGGGTAGAATTTGTATCCATGAATCCGCATCCAAGAAAAACAGTATAAAAAAGCAGTTATTTGGCAAGCACTAGAACATGGGTCATTCAGGCCAATATTACCAAACAGGTAATAGTTAGACTCTCCAGAGAGCCCCAGGGCACAGGACTTAAGCCCTAAGCTCATGCGAAGAAAAACCACCAAGGAGGAAGAAATACACTGGAAAAGTCCACAAAATGACTAACTTTACTATCTAGAAACTAGGACTAAACAGAAGGCCTCATCCCAAATGATTTGAGGGTCCTTTAATTGGTTTCCCTTGTATAAATGAAGTTTCTCCCAATTAATACCATATATTTAACCCTTGCTTTATGCATTTTTACATTTTATACACCTTTTATACATTCACCTATCCATTCTTTTATTTAATATGTGTGTGTTGGTATGTATGTACACAGGCACACACGTGTCACAGCATGAGCTGCTGTCTCTGTTTGAGTTTATTGACCCAAGTTGGGTAAAGCCAGAGGCCTTCCCTGGGATTTGTCCAGCTGGAGTTGAAGGAAAGAGACAGTTAATCTTTAGAAGAAACTTTAGGTCACTGATGGATCCTCTGGAGCAACTTCAAGGAAATGGAATGAAAGGGATGCGTGGGGAAGAAAGGGGCGAAGATAGGTTGAACCCTGAGAGATGCCGGGTTCCCACCCACTCTTCAACCAGACTTTGGACGCCAAGGGTAGTGTGCTGCCAGCTTGCTTTAGGGGATGATTTTTTTTTTTTTTTTTGTAGCTCTAAGCAACTCCATGTTTATCAGTTCAGCTTCACAATAAAGAATCAAGTCCCATTCTCGGGACATCATCTTGGTGTTCATCCTATTTTCTTCCTGAAGAAAATACTAACTCTTCTGTAGGCTGTATTATTTATGTAGGTGTAGGCCAGCTATTTCACAGCAATAACATTTGATAGCATATAGATTTTCTTTTCTAGAGAATAGGAAATTGAGAATCTAATCATACTGCATTAGAATGAGCCAAATCATCTGATTATAATCTGGAGACTAGCCAGTCATTTTCCCCCTTTTCTAACTAAGGAGGGCTCACTCTGTCTTTCCTTATGGTTAGCTGTATTATGCATTCCTGGGTCAATTCTGTCTCCTGTAATTATTAATTATAGATCAGTTGCACCACCTCCCTCAGCCACTTGCCCAGGAACTTTGAACTTTTAGAGCCAAATTCCACCTCTGAATCTCAGGCTGTGTTCCATGGAGCTACCTCTAGCTGTATCCACAGTTCAGTTCAGACTTGTAGTTCTGAAGTCTGAAGCTTTATCAGGCAAGGTTAATCCTTTCATCCCTATGCTCCAATAGACCTATGGTCCAGGCCTGCTCCTCAGGCTTGGCAATAGGCCAGGTCCTCAGGATGACACTCCAGAGGAGCAAAGGCCAAGAATGGTACTCACAAAATCAATAGCCACTCTGTCCCCCTGGAGTGGGTGTCAGCCTCATTTTAGGGTTCTACTCCCCATGGATCAAGTAAAAGAAATAGATAGATGTTGGTCAAAACCAATTTTATTGGGTTTCTCATACCTATGACAGCAGGTTTTATCAATAATATATTGTTCATACCCTTGAAAACTAATCAGAACAGATTACATGCTCTCAACACAAGAATCGTAAGTATGTGATGTGATAGATAGGTTAACTGGTTTGATCTGATCACTGTGCTGTGATATGCTTTTGTGGCTGTATATATAAAGTATAGCATAGATGCAAATTAGAATATAGTTGCTGTGATAACTAGTTTTGACAGGAGCAGCCATACAAGAATACAAGAATACAATACAATACATACAAGAATACAAGAATAGTATTAAGGCTGGTGTGGCTACTACTTCAACAGTCAGCTTTAGCTCGTGTAAGATGGCCATCTTAGCTTAGCTTATGGTAAAACTACGATCTACACAAACCTGGCTACCCAAAACTGTGGCCAGAGGGACTGTTTGTCCCTGGTGTCCTTTGTAGTTATTCATTATTTTACTCCAACACCTAGTGCCATTCAAGGCTCTGGGGAAAGACAGCGGACAATTGCAGTCCCAGGTCCTGACAGCAAGCTGTGAACAATAGATGCAGAAGGACAGAGTGAGTGGATGACAGTTTGCCTGATAACCACTGTAAGGAAGGAAAGCGAACAGCAGGAAATGAAGGGGGTGTGGTAACTGTAAGGAGGGAGCATTTGAGCGAGAGGGGGTCTGGTTGATGTGAGGTTGTGCATACCTGGAGCGATATTGATTAGAAAGTATGTTAGAAGTGCAGGTCAGAAGGTAAACCCACTTCCAGGGCCACTTAGTCATTGGAAATACTTGGTTTTTGTGGTTGTAGCCCTAAGACCACCTTTTATTTTATTTTATTTTATTTTATTTTATTTTATTTTATTTTATTTTTATTTTATTTTTTTACAGCTGTTGGGCAGGGAGTCTCAAGTCCTTTCTCAGGGCTCTTCCATACCCAAGGCAGCATTGAGAATGTCTCCCAGCTGCTCAGCCCTCTTGTTCTTTGAATCTCCCTGAATTGCTCTTACTTCCTCATTAGAACAGCACAGGGAGGTGCCGTGGCTCAGCAGGTAAAGATGATTGCTGCCAAGCCCGATGGTCCAAGTCTCATAGATCTCCAGAGTTTATGTAGTGAAAGAAGAAAACCAACCGTTGTAAACTGTCTTCTGACATCCATTAGTATCCCATGGCTCCTTCATGCTACACACACACACACACACACACACACACAAATATAAATACAAACACACATGCAAACACACAAATACACAAAGCTACACACACATACAAACACACACAGATACACACACACACACACAAAAATACACACACACAAATCAAACACACAAAGCTACACACACACACACAAACACACATACACACAAATACACACACAAATATACACACATAAACACACATGCAAACACACATATACAAACACACACATAAATACAAACACACAAAGATATACACACACATACAAACATACACACAAACACACAAAGATACACACACACATACACACACAAATATAAACACACAAAGATACAAATATACACACACAAACACACATGCAAACACACATATACAAACACACAAAGCTACA